CTAGGTGTAGGACAGACTGCAGAGGAAGCCTTGCCATATTGAACTCATGAACAACAAACAAACAAAGTGGTCCACATGCCTAAAGCAGAGACATTAGCCTTTAAGGTCATGTTTTCCGAGCCAGAAGAGATCATTGGGTCAGCTTGTATGGTAACAGACTGGTTTGAATACTTGCGTAAAGGTGTGCATTCTGTAATGAGGTCACTTTTGAAAAGTTAATTGTAATGAGCTCTTTACCTCCCAAGTTTTTTTCTCCAGCCTTCAAACAATTTGTGACTTTTTTCTATATTACCCCTATTTTTCACATAGTCTTAATCAAATGCAAGTATCTGCAAATATAGACACAGTATTTGTCCACTAATCAGGAAGAAACCCACCTTTAAAACCTTCTCAGTCTTAAGTAGAAATTTAAGTATGTGGGATTTGCACCTCAGTTCTTCAGTCTTAGTTTACAATTGTCTCCCAAAAGTTACACAGCTCAAGGAGTCATGCCCTGATCAGCAGGATCACATACTTTTCACTTAGTGAAGGAAATTACAGAAAATACTAAAGAAAGGGAAAAAGAAAGAAAGAAAATAGACTATTACCCTGGTAAAATGATGACAGTGCATGGGAAGGATTGACATAAAAGAGCAAAAAAAGAAAGCTTTCTTAGAAGTTAAATAGTCACGAGAAAAGCTATTTTCGCTGCTATTTGGGAAAGGGACTTCTGAATTTAAAGAATACTGCAATAATCTAGTTATGAGATTTAAGATGAAATAGAAAGCTAAAGTATATGTTGTCACTTTTTTCTTTAATGAAATGCTACACTTAAACGTCTTCATTTGAAAATAATCTGTATGTGGGTTTTTTTAAAAATAGCATCAATTTGGTAGTTAGAAAAAAAAGGTTCACAGTGTGCTTATGACTGACTGAATCTGGAGGTTAGCTGTTAGTCCTGCTTGTAAGTCCGGTAATGCATATGAATGCAGTCTCCATAAGAATGCTGATGTAATTCATATCTTTAGTCTTTTTTGATTCCAGAGGCTAAAGAAAATTTGCTGGTGTATGGAATGCTGTGTTAAAAGAAGAAATTGAGAAAACAATTGCATATTTTTATTTATTAAGAAAAGCATAGAGTTCTGTTTCCTCACATATATAAAGAATCAAATAATTTGATATGGTTTATTTCATCATAATCCCAGGCCTCTTTTGGCTTCCAGACTTCTTTTCTGTCGTGTTTCTCAGGATCACACTGTTAGTGCCCCTGTCCTGCTATCTTTATTTCCTCCTACCACATTTCCTCACCTTCACTTTGCTGCCTCTACTTTTTTATGCACCCTCGTTTAGGGCAATGATTGTCCAGTTCTGGTGGAGGTTCATACTATTGCAGCTACCTGATCCCACAAAGCAGCTCAATGGCTTTTTACAACTATCTTAAATTAAGGGTAACATCAAAATTTCATCCAAACTATAACTTCACGAACACTCTCTGCAAGCAATTTTCACCAATAACCATACTTCTGCCTTAGGGTATTATTCTGAGGCATCACAATTTTACCTTCAAAAAGCAGGACCCACATGTATTTCTGCATGAACAAACCACAAACTGAACTGCTGATTTACTTAGGCCATAAGACACTAAATGGCTGTTTTCAAGCCACATCAATATAACCAGCCACGATTCATCCAGCCTATTACTAATTCCTAGCTGCTCTTGTTTCCAGAAGCCCTGAGAAAATAGCAAAGGAATAGGCACCTATTGCACATGAACAACGTGGCTGACCTGCACTATGTATAATAAATCCAATGTTTTAATGGGATCACACCTCTCATCTAATATATGTGAAGCCAGCTGACCTGTGCTCAGGCAACTTGCTTGGCACAACACCAGAGCAAAGGAGCAATTCAATTAAAGCAAACCTTGCTTCAGTTGCTGACAGGATTTCCCACCATCTTCATTTACACCTCCTGATTGATTGTTTGGTTGAGACATTTTAAAGGACAATTAGCTACATATCCCTTGCATCTGAAAATTAGTTGTTTGAGCATGACAGAAATTCATATTGAAGAAAAGTCATTAAACTAGCAGTGGACACATTTGAATCAGCTGTAAAAGCAAAGCATAGATGACAAAAACTGAGATTCAGATCAATTTTCTCAACCAACAAGCAGTACCACAGAGCCAGGAGAAATTAAGCTAAACCAAGCTTCCATTGGAATTTACCATGGAGTATTTACAATAGCGAAATACAAAGAATATGGCTGTAGAACAAGGCATACAGGACTTTTCTAAGTAGGAATTTCTCAGAGAAACTGATCTTGAGACAATTACTCTTTCTTAACTACTTTAAATTAAAATTCTTTTCTGTGTAATACTATTTAGGTCACCTGAGTATATCAAAACAGTCAAAAATTTACAGTCAGATGTAATTACATCAAACTTTCCAAGGGATTTCCAGCTGTTCTCTGGAATTAATGCATAGCATAAGAATGGCTGACTGGAGTTTTGTACACAATAGCATTTTTTATATGTTTGCATTTAAAACATAGTCTATATAAAATACAGGCATTTCAGATTAAACTTGCATGCTATTTTACAAGTGAAAAAGCCCAGAAGTTCCAGTTATCTAACATTTGGACACTGAATTCTGAAACAGGTTATTGCTTTAATTCCAGACTAACATGTTCCGTATCCAAAGCCAGACCGGGACATTGTCTAATTTTTTATTTTAAGGTTTGTTCTTTTCTTATGGACCCAGTACTGAGCTTTACCAAGTGTTTTCAGTTCCTTTAGCCATGGTGGGAAGTGGTGATGTTCATCCTTTTGTGGGTTCCAGCCTAAGGATTATTTTATAGTAGAACAGGGTCTTACCCCTGGGTGGCACTTCATTTACCTTTATTTTGGCAGTGGCCCAGAATATTTTCCAGAATTGGTATAGGTGTGGATGGAACAGTTTTCCTTCTCCATTTGCTGCACAAAGCTAGCAAAAGCACAGTTGCTGTGTAGGATAAGAGATTACAACAAGGATATAGTGGCTCCTCCACTCTCTAAGATATTTGCACAGTGTTGATAAAAATAAGTCTTGTATATCTTGTATGTTCATGTTTCCTTGCTAGCCCTCCCCATCTTCCTGATGCTATCACTCAGTGGCACACTGTCTCACACACTGTCTTCCAGATGGAGGAAGAAGCTCTCTGAAAGCCTCAGGTTCTAGAAATTTCTCTTACTTTTCCACAGTTCCATGCAAGTGGCTAAGGCTGTTTTCAATATGTTGATACATTTTCAGGATGTCTAAATAATTAATGTTTTTTAATTTTCCTTTGGGGCCTTGGTTCCTTAGTCAAATCCTAACCTCAAGAAGAATCTTTTCTGTGACGATGGCAAATTTTTTAATTTAGAAAAATAAAATATTGATATGGGGATTTTAGATACACCATTGTATCACAGATGCCTAACAGATCTTAGACTTGGGAAAAAATTAAATTTTTCTCTTTCTCTTGAAGCAACTTTAAAAAAAAAGTTGAAACTCAAACCCCATCAGGTAAGGCAAGCAAAGTGTGGAGCATTATAAAATATGGCCATTGGGCCTTCTATGTTATACCCATCGTGCTTGGCTCTGCCTTGATATTGTCCCATCATTCAAATATCCTCATGAGAGCTGTCAAGCTCATATTAATACCTGTCATTCAATGCACCAAACTCTTGTTGCTAAGAACTTTCCTATGTTCCCACATGTCCATTCTTCTGAAGATAGTACAATTTAGGTGATAATGCTTGTGGATGCCCACGGACTCAGAAAACAACTACCTTCTTTCAGTGTTTTGCGACAAAAGGCAAACAGAGAGCTAAGTATCATCACCACGAGAACAACAGCAACTGTGTTGGAAAAGAGAAAGGAGGTGGTCAAGCAACAGAGAAAGAAACACAAGGATTTTAGGTCCATTCCTGGAAGGAACGAGGTTGCAGCACTCACCACCGCAGTTTGTTTCCCTTTCTACCCTCAGTGTGAGGAGCTGTTGCCTTTCCAAAAGCCACATAGAATCTGCCATTTTATATTTAGCAGAGGCTGTGAAATCGCACTTCAGCAATAACATATTTAATAGAAACACAATAAACTGGTAACCGAACAGGTGACAAGGTTAGATGGACAACACTGGTCTCTGTATTGCATTGTATTTTATGAAGTGTATTACCACAGACGGAGGCCTTTGTCAAAATAGGCCTTATATAAAGAGCTCCCAAAACAAGAAATCCAAACTAGATCACCACGAAGGTGTACATGTCTTGCTTTTTAAACTTCCACAGACAGCATCACTGGGGAAAGCTTAAGGAGGGTCTTGCATGGAGCACAAAGATTGAGTAACCTGGGGGAAAGGAAGCAGTTCCTGGTGGATTTGTGTGCGTGTGTGATAAGACACTTGCCAGTTCTTCACAAGTGAACCTTGTGTTCAGGGAGCCCACTTCAAAAAGTCACTTCAAATGCTGAAAGAATTACACAGATATTATAAAAACAAACTTGCAGGAAGTCTCAAAAAGAGCTGCCTAGGTGCCTGCCTCATAGTGGAGTCTGTAAAGCATAACAACAGTTATGTACGTTGCCATATTTACCAGTTATCCCAGATTCCTAAATCCACCGCTTTTGGCTGGAGTCCTGGCCGGCAGCCGGGGGCGGGCAGCTGCCGAGAGCGGGAGCCGAGCTGAGGGGGTGGCGAGGGCCGCGCTGCGGGGGGAGAGGGCGGGCAGAAGACCCCCGCACCCCCGCGCCCGCCTTGGTGCCCCGCAAAAGCAGCCGGAGCCCCGGGCCGCCTGCCTGTGCGGCGAGAGGGAGCGGGGAAGAGGTTGGCGGGGTCTGAGGGGACCGACAGGAGAACGTGTAAAGCAAGGCGCGCCGGTGGGGACGGGACCGGGCCTGGCGCGGAGGCGCGGCGGGCGGTGAGGTGCCCGCCGCCCGGGCAGCGGCCTGAGGGGACGCGGCGGTTCCCGCCCGGAGGCGGGGCGGGGCGCCGCGGTCTGCCCCGGAGCCCTCGCCCTCCCCCGCGGCCCCTCAGCGCGGCGCGGCGGCGGCGCTGGCGCTGCCCGCCGTCCCCCGGCGCCGCGGCAGCTGCGGGCAGGGCGGGGCGGCGGCGGCGGCGGCGGGGCCGGCGGCGGCAGCGGCGGGGCGCGGGGCGGCGGCGGGGCCCTCGGCGCGGGGCAGGACGGAGCGGGCCGCCCGGCGGAACTCCTCGCTACGCCACGTGTAGAGCAGGGGGTTGAGGGCCGAGAGGGAGCAGAGCAGCAGCCAGCTGGCGGCCTGCAGCGCCGGCGGCGCCGGCCGCAGGAAGAAGCCCAGGAGGCTCACCCACACCAGGGGCTGGGTGCCCAGCAGGAAGACGCAGCAGAGCAGCAGGACGGAGACGCTGCTGAGGCGGCGCTGGGCGCGGCGGGGAGGCGGCGGGGCGGCGGGGAAGGGCAGCTGGTGCAGGAGGTGGAAGTTGAGGACGCTGACCCGCTTGGCGCTGCCCCGCACCCGCCGCACGATGCCGAGGTAGCAGTGCAGCAGCAGCGCGGTCTGGCCCAGCACGGCCAGGGCGAGGAGCAGCGCGGTGTAGCGAGAGCTGCCGTCCGTCTGCCGCGGCGGCGGCTGCTGGGCAGAGCCCGGCGTCCAGAGCCCGGGCAGCAGCGGGACCAGGAGCAGGGCGAGGGCCCAGGAGAGCCCGATCATGCAGCCCGTGTTCCTCCGCTGGTAGAGGGCCTGGTACACGCTGGGCAGCTTGGTGATGAGCACGTACCTGTTGAAGGCCACCAGCAGGTGAGAGGCCAGGGAGACGGTGAGGCCGAGGCCGAGGAGCCCCCCTCGGAGCAGCCGGTACTCTGCCGAGCGAAGGGAGGAGGAGTTGGGCGGCAGCAGCCCCAGCACAGCCTCCTGGGGCATCCACAGGGCGCACACGCTTAGGTCTGCCGCGCAGCCATTCACGATGAAGGCATTGCTGGTTGTCTGCAGCTTCTTGAAGGAGAAGACTAAATAGATGACCATCACATTGGATAAGGTCCCTGAGATGGCTAAGACTGCGTAGAGCAGCGACAGGAATATGCGGGTCCCGGAGGAGTCCTCCCAGAGCAGCAGCAGTGGGGAGCTAGCACTCCAGGAAGAGGCGTTGGGCATCTCGCTGAATGCAGCTCAGTTTTGACTTCTCCCTGTAAATCCCATCCTTGTCTGGGTCAGAAGATCCTGCCACAGGTGTCCCCCCACGAAGCGTAAGGGAAGATGTGCAGCTGAGGGACTCAAAGGCAGGTTTCAGTCATACAAGCTGCAATGTCCAGAAAACGCAGTTCACAGTGTCCAGGGCAGGTAGGTGGCAAGAGATCCCACAGACTGTAGCTAGCGAAGGTGTGGCCATAGGGAGCAGATGGCTGTTGGCAGACCAGAGCACGACTGAAGATTCCGTAGCTGTGAAAATGCCAAAAGCAGCAGCACCTTGCAATCAGCAGCAGAAACGACAGCAACCGATACAAAGCTTTGCGGTTTCTCCTGTGCCACAGTACGTACACTGTATATCATTCCAGGAAGATTCAGCCCTTCCACTCTTCATGAATTATTCAGCAGATTTTCAACTTGTTAAATCAAGAAGAAAAAAAAAAAAAAAAAAAAAAAAACACCAAACCCTATCATGCTCCAGAAATACTGCAACTACACAGTCTGACTCTCCTCTCTTTGCCTTACTGGTTTCCTGGTTCTAACCCATTTGCACAACTTGCATTTGCAGCAAGCTTTCAAACCAGTACCAGTCACTTCTGTCTGAAATACAATCCATTTACTGTAGAAACTCCTCTGCTAGATACTGACTTAAAGTAATTTTTTTTCTGATCTTATTTTTGTTAAGAGAACGCACACTATGCTTCTGCAAGCTTAAAGTTAATTTTAGAACTGGTCTGTAATAACAATACACTTTGCAAATTAAATCTTTCAATCACAGTAGATACACAGGTCCATGGTAAGACAGTACTTCTTATTTGAGGAAGCTGATCCTCCATCTAAATATTCTACATTTCATCATAAAACAGCCTGCCTCAGCCTGCAGGAAATCCTGCATTGCCAGCCTGGCAGAGGTGAACACTGGTGTTAGTAAGTACACAGATAAAACAGAATCAGTGTAGCATTTGAAACGGTCTCACACCAAAATTGATGCAGAGAATAAGTTCCTGCAGAGGTAAATGACAGGTTTTTAGATGGACTAAAAGGTGGTTGAAGAGTAGGAGGGCTGAACAGTCCCTTCCCCAGTGGAGAAGAGTTGGTAGTCTCCCAGGAACTCAACAATGCTTTACTCAAAGTAGGGACAAAATGTTAACTGTCCTTTCCCTGGACAAAATTTAATAAGAAACTAAGTAAAAGGACTTGCGTTTCATCTCAAAAGCTTTCCAGAAAAGGAATGCTGATTTTGTCGTGAGTTTAGGAGAAAAGCTGCTTTTACAGGTGTGTTATATTTACGCTACAGAAGTAAGCAATCTCATAAGGTATGATCTCTTTATTGACCAAAGGTATCTTTATGAGGTGTTTTTAGATACTGTTAACTCATGATGGTAACAAATGACAATACCAAAATAATACATTAGGAGGCAATTAATAGTTACAATATACATTCTTTAAGATAATGAAGCCAATTTGTGTGGGTTAATGGGTTATTTTATTGCAACGTTGCATCTTTTGACAGAAAAGCTCATGTTTGCAACTAGCAGGACTGTTGATTCAAATGTGGATTTGTTAAAAACATGAATATCTATGTTCTTTTTTAATTAAGATTGCTCATGTGCTTAAGGTTAAAGACATACCCGAGTGATTTACTTGATCAGGCCCTTAATTACCATATTTTTTGCCTGCTGCACTTTACAGTGTAGATCTAATCAAGTGTCAAACCTTTTGAGGCCTTTCATTGTTTAGCTGTCAGCAGAGAACAGTTATTATAGAAACGAAAATCCTCCTCTTTCTGCAGTACTGTAATTGAAAAATATTCTCTAAATCTGTAACAAGAAATATCTCCCTAGCCAAAAAGCTTCATAAAGCATGCTTTAAAGAGATGATTAACAGTTTCATAAGGCATTTGCCACACACTCATAGGCCCACTAGAGACCTCTAGATTTATTTAATCCATTCTTGCAAGTTTATCAAACCTCTCTTTAAAGATCTCATGTGTTACAGCTTGTTCTCCCATAACAAGAATATATGAGGCAACGGAAATGGTAAAGTTCAAGGATAAGTGATATGAAACAATTCTCAGGGTATTTTTTAAAAGCTACTGGGTTCTAAAGATCTCCCTGACCTTTCACTGTCCCCAAATTTGTTCTCATTGTTAAGAAGCTGATTGTTACAGAATACTGGCTGTATTTATCATTCATTTTTAAGAACAAAACATAGGGTGTACATTAGCTGGCATTTATGTATCTTGTATAATAAATCAAGATAAGTCAAGTCTAGAAAAAGGCTAAGGGAGAGGTTGATTCCTACATACCAGAAACTTTTTAATTGTCTGTTCTTCCTTTATATTTACTCTACACATCCACGTCACTATCTTTTTTGAAAATCGGCAGTTGAGCTAAACAATGTTAGAACCATTTGTGACTAATTTTTAATTGAAGGAAGGATGAAAAGCCAAATGAAAGCATGATCTTTTGGGTACCTATGGACAAGGACTATGCTGTTAGTGAGACTAAGAAACTGTTGCACGTGCAGAAAAACCAAGGTATATTACACCTTTAATAAGGGTCCTTGCCTAGGGGAAAAAAAGTTTCCTCAATTCATACAGCTTTTAAATGACAGTATTTTGAAACATAACCTTTACACCATAATATCAATATGTTGATTAAATACTTGATGTCATACAAAGCAAAAACAAGAAGGTCAGTTAGAGAGATCAGTTATAAAAGATGATTATCATGCTGTCTTTTTGCAACATCATCTTATTTATAAATACATTATGCTTTAAAAGAAAAGGTGATTTTTGAAGAGCTACTCTTCAATGAGAGATCTAATCATATTGGTTCACATCAAAAGATCAAAGTAAGAAAAGCCAGGAAACGAGGAAACTGACTGATATAGGCATTTTATTATCAATAAGCTGTATGCATATATATATATCTACATTTCAAAATTAAACAATATTTATTAAGGAAAACTATTTATAACAAAGCACATGACAAAAGTCTTCATAAGAGGTAGAATTACCTTACCATTAATCTATAATTCATATACAGTATATTGTATATATATGCACACACATATGCTACTTTGTGTGTGTATATTTTACATATACACAGTTGTGAAAAAAGTACAGTATTGCATGTAAATTCTACTCAGTGATTTATACAGCCACTGTCAGTATTGCTTATTAACACTTTCAGTACAACTTTCCATAGTGATTTGTGATCTGGTCTTTTTAAAAAAATGTGGCACTTTATTTTGACTTCGGTTGTAAAGCAAATGCAGGGTATTCCTGAAGACCTGTGAACGAAGACTGACAGTTCAACCAAGGTTTATTTTCAAGTTTATGTAGATATTGGAAGAACTCATAGGCAACAAATATGTTGGTTTTGTCTTCTGAATTAGTAGCAAATCAAGTCCTCACAGCTGCTTACATTTTTTTGCTTACTGTACAGTTGTGGAGTTCTGAAAATTTTACACGTGATCTCTAGTAATTCACTGTAACACCACTTCATTCTAAGTCTCATTCCTCATCACACCCGATTAAACTATATGTTAAAGAGCATCTTTAACTACTGACAAAAATATTCTGTGATGCAGGAGGTTACATTAGCTATATGTTTAGCAATAATTTTCAAATTAAAAGGTTTATGAAGCGTCCAGTTGATAAGTAAAAATTTAATATACTTCCAACATTTACTTTAATGTGTTTTGCTACTGAAACTGTACACATAATCCCAAATGCAGGTTAAAAACATGTAAGTATGCAGCACTGCCAAATCCATTGTACATGCACATTCTTACCAACTTGTTTGGTCTGCCTTCATTTTTGCAGTGTATATATTGCATAGGAAAATTGAACATTCTACATTGAAAAGAAAATGTTAAAACATTCCTTTAAGACAAACTGAAAGAAAGTGTTAATTGTACAATTGAATCATCAGATAAATTATTTTCTCTTTGCAGTGAAAGATGTAAGTTACACTACATCTCAACAAAGATTTCCCCTTTATTTTTCTTTTGTAGTGTTTCCTTATGAAACATTAGCAGCGGGAAGTGGAAAGCAGGCTATCTATCAAGTGCTTCCAGTTGACAGTGTAGTAACTAGTCTCACACTAGTTAGACTTCAGTTAAGTTACCAGAATACCAATTAGTGAAAAAGTAATTACATCAGGCTTTAAGCAATAATGATGGACCCATAAAACAAGAAAAACATCTTGTTCATAAAAAAAAAAATCTTCCTATCTTTGATAAACATGTAAAAATTCTTTAAAATACACATTTTTGTAGCAAAGTCAACACTAATTTAAAATATATACTAATTTTTACATAATTTTTATATATATTGCTTACCAAAATATTCTCTTAATATATATTTTAACACTGTACACAAGTTAATAAATGTCTTAATGAAATTCATTAGAAATATATTCAAGCTGTCTCAACATTAAAAATTTAAATCTGTATATAACATGGGGTAATAATTTCCATAAATTCAACATCAGTGCATCTGCAGTAGTTATTAACAAGAAATTACTGTCCGTTAAGTCTCCTCTTGGTGTTAAGGTTTTAATATGTCTTATATTGAAGATTCCTCCTCTGAGCGAGCAGCTTACTTCCTTAAGTTCTTCTCTTTCATGAAGGGCTTCGATTTTAAGAGCTCAGCGGGTTTCACCAAAGCAGGAAGGCTTTAGTACTGAACATACTCAGACTGAAGGGACTGTGCAGAGAACAAAAAATGATTAGAGGTCACTGGGAATGTTATGTTTGTATACAGCATGCATTTTGCACTTAAGGAGTAGATGAAGGACAGGAAGGAGAAAAATGAACAGAGTTGGAGGGGGAGCTGAATCTGCATATCTGAAGATCAATAAAATAGAAAAAACTCAAGAACTGGATAAAGTCCATCAACTTCCCTGTATCTACACTGACTTTTCCAAACCAAATTCTAGACATTCTTGAAAAAAGTGTTACAAGTCCTTTAGAACACCACCTTAAAGCAATACCTTAAAAATGTGTTGGGAAAGCCTATGACTGCTGTTGCTACAATAGAATTGTTTCCCTTTATCCTGAATGAGAATCTAAGTGCTACTGTAAAAAATACAGCATACTTTAGATGTTGATTCAGGTAATGACACAGGAAACATATACAGTGTAGCTAATTTACTGAGAAAAAAGCTACACACAAAGCATCACAATTCTGCACATGAATACATTTATGTATGATTACTAAAACGAGATGAAAATGAAGCACTACAAATGGTTTATCTGGCTTAGCAAACAGTCAGTATAATTAAGAGGAAGGAGTAGGCTGGTCTACTGTATTTATTTACATTTCTGTTTCTACTGAAGTCTAAGGCTTCATTATAAAGTAATTAATCAGTTTAGACAGCATCCAAACATTTTATTACCTCTTATACAGATGTGTTCAGGAAGTCATTGATAGACAGAAAGTCTTACTTGAGAGAGCTCTTTACTATACTAGTATGGTTACAAACTAATAGCAAATTAAAAGCCCACACCATATTTTAGAATTGCATCAATTAATCAAAATTAGACGAGAACAACATGATTCCCAAGAAAGCTCAGAACCTTGGAGTCTTCCATTTTCCAACTGTTCCTAACTTGCCATTATAGAAATGCTCTTTGGCATCCATAGTGAAACCTATCAAATAAACCTAACAAATATATAAACCTTTAGAGCCCTAACTAGTACCACAAAACCACTTTTTTTTGCTGTATCTTAAGTCTCAGCGTATATTTCCAAAGTTGTCTTTTAAATTCATTTTCACAGCTTGAAGATCTGAGACCATCTGGATATTCTTTCCTAGGTTTAAAAAGAAGTGCTGTCAGCATATAAAGATTTGAATACCACTGACTAAAAAGGGTTTGTTTTTAGTACTGAATGGATTCAACATGAACGGTTTAATAGAAAATACTTTACCATAAAACTAAACAGAGATAACAAGTATTTTTCATTATAGGCTCAGAATCACCATGGAATACATAATTACAGAAGCTTATTTTCCCCTACTCCATTCTCTGGTAATCATTCTGGATTATTAGCTTTGGAGAGAGCATGTGTCAAGCTATTTATTACATGTGTAAGAGTGAGGCAGAAGGAATAGCCCTTCATTAATGAGCACTTGGAACTCCTGCTCTTTTAATGATCCTCACAGCTTTCTTATTTTCAGATGTGTATTTTAACAATCAGAAAGATGGTCACACTTAATTAGAGCAGTATTTGAGATGGATTCTTCAAAGCTGAATTCCAAGTAGAGGTGATTAACAAACATTTAAAAATGCATGAAAGTTAATTATATACTACTATATTGTTGTACAGTAATAGATTACTTTAAGCTTGGACAGATGAAATATAACCAGAAAGCACTATACAGTTTTGGTGACCTTGGGAACAGCTAGCATTAGTTGACAAAGCACTATGAACAGCAGCCCTTTATATAGCAGACAGTAGTAACCAGGAAATCATAATTTAAATAAACAAACAAGCAAACCATGAAGTAAAGGCTCTGAAGTTTAAACTAAAATTGTTAAAATTGTTAGGAATCCAAGTTACAAAAATATGGAAAAAATTAATGGCAACATATAAAAAAGAACAAATAGCCACACAGCACAGATCGCTTGGAAACAAGATAGTATGTTGTGTTAATTTTCATTACAGATGGATAGGCAGAGATTGTTTTATTTATCTTCAAATCGAGAAGTATGCTTTTCAGTGTGTTCCCACCTTCACCATAGCTCTACTTCACATAGCCATCATTTCTCAGTGCTTCAAAGCCTTTTCTGAATACAGGGAAGAATTAAATGTAAGCAGTATTTTTTCCAGATTAAGATTAATTGATATGACTTCCCATAATATTCCGATTACTAAAAACATGGTGATAGCTGTAACAACTGAGCTGCTGTAAAGTATTCAGACTGAGTTTTGAGTTAGAAAAATTAAATTATAGCTGGGGAGGATTGGGGTTTTTTGGGGTTGGTTGGTTGGTTTGGTTTTGTCTGTATTTGGTTTTCTTTTGCAGTTAAGTGATTTGTGCTCTTAAATCTCTTCACATTGTCCAGAGAGACTGACTGTAATATTTCAAGGCCTGTAATTGAGCTATATTACTACCCCCCCCTCATTTTTTTTTTTTTTAATCTTTTCGAGGAGTTTTCTATTTTAAAATTTACATTCCTACCTCCTATTTGCAGTGACTCAAAGTATGGCCTGTGATTCTGAAAGCTTTATCAAAAACAAAAATCCCCAATTCACCATTACAAGTCACATGCTTGTATTTAACAAAATCTTATTTAAAATAGAGGTAAAAATAGAAGGAAAAACAAAGAAAATTGCTGAATTGCAATGATGAGAGTATAAAATCAGTTAACTGAGTAGAATTCTCAATGTGTACTCTTACAGTGGTCCCATGCAGTGTCAAGCTTGGCATTTTATACCCAAGTATCAGACATTTAAACAAGGAACTAGGAATTAGATAGCATCGCTACAGGTAATGGTATCTAGTGGATTTCATGCTGAAGCAACTACTCAGATCACTGTAACTTCTCTTCTTCAGCAGGAGGCACAGAAAGCCTCCTGGAAGAGAAAATGAGCTGCTGATCCATCTAGGCACTAGAACCGTATTCGCATGCATTCAACTTCAGGACCAAGTCAGCTGGGAGTTAACTTTCAAGAGGGAACAGCCTTGTAGCATTTACAGCTATTTGTTACAACTCACACATACTTTTTTTCAGATAATTGCAAGAAGTAACTTAAGTTTTTTGAATTGTTCATCAACTCTCCCAAAACACTGTTGCAACAGGAGTGTTGCAGCAGGTAAGAACTATTGTGAATATACAAGATGCACTAAAATATATCAGAATATATTGTAGAAAATGCATACGCACTTGAAGTGATCCTTTGAGTCTGCTGAATTTACAGATCAGTAAGGTGCACTAGTGTTTGTCTCTGATTGTAAAGCCTGTCCTATATTAACTAATGGTAAGTTCTTACTAAGAAAAACTATCCTACAAGTATAAAGATCACGTATATGAATTCAAAAATACTGCTACACCTCTCAATTTTTTGAAATTTTTCCATCTTGCCAGTTTCCATGACAGCTATAGAAGCAAAAGGTGACTCATCTTAAGACTACCCAGTTACATACTCTTCAATAAAAATACATTTTAAAGAGTGATATTTGGATTTATAACTATTGTAAGAACAAAGTAAAAAAATCTTACTGTGGTACCTTAAATGTGATTATACTCGATAAGAATATTTCTTCAATTATAATGGTGAGAGATTCTGTTTAATCAAAACATCCTATTTGTAAAATTTGCAAATGAAATATTTATTCTATCTGGCTAGAATGGCAAGTTGTCTGTTCTATGAAAATCAAGCTTTTCTTCTAGTTCATCAGCATACAACAGCATAAACATGAGAAAAAGGAAGTGGATTATAAACATAGACTGATGAAGGACAAAAACCATTAGGAAAAAAAATATATGGCTGATAGCAACAGGAAGTCAAAGTCATGGTTATTTTTTGTTTGTTTTAAATGAAATGTGGAACAATAGTATTTTTTTTTATGTTTCATTCCAAAAAGAAAAAAAAAAAAAAAGTATTGAATAACTTTCTCTTCCAGGGAAAAAAAATTATTTTATGTACTTCCATTGCATAAAAAGTTTCCAATTTCCTCACTAATGAGATTAAAGAACATTAATTAGAACTGAAAATTTACTGTCCTATCTACTGCACCGTTCTTGTTAATAGTTAACAAACTAGAAGGATAAATAAGAGTGATGATTTTCTAAAACAGAGTACCTATATGATTACAGATGGTTCGCTTGATATCTAAACCCAGGTGAGATTTTGCTAATAAAAAGAAGAGGAATGTAATTCATATCATTCAAGAGGTCTTTGATGAGCTAAGTTAAATGAATAAACATAACCACCAGTATATGTAATAGACTTCTGTCAGGCAACTTATGTGATGTGCTTCAATTAGAAAAGTGCAATGTAATACAACCACTTACTGCAACAAGATGAAGGTTTGGCTGTCAAGACTTCCAAGTAATTTCAGCATCTAAAGCAGTGAAGTGGAAATCATTAAATAGAATTCTGTTTTTAACAGAATTCCGCCCAAACTGGTATTAAGGATTGATGCTACTCCATATTTTGCTCATGACCTTAAGACCACTGATGAATACCACCAAAAGCAAAACAGCTGGATGTCAGTGGCTGAAGTGGTAAGACAAAACCATCTTCATTGTTTGGTTATTTGGTTCCATTAAGAAGAGGGGAGGAAAGGGGGGGGGGGGGGGGGGCGGGGGGAAGATGATGCTTTTCTACAGAGCTCCACATAAAATAAACAGGGAATTCAGGACACTGGACTAAAATACCAGTCAGCATCGTGGATGGCAAGAATTCTTTTTTTCTCCCCATGAACTCCCAATCCACTACAGTTAAAAAAGGTAACAGAAGCTATGGATTTACAAGCAGGACAGCACCCAGCAGCAGCTTTCTGGACCTGAAAGATGAATGTTAAGTGTTGCAGCTACTTCTTGAAAAAGGCTTTTCAAAAACTGTAAAGGATTTGAACACTTTCCAAAAGGATCTTTGTGCCAGCTTAGCTTATCAAAAGACAATCAAGTTGAGATGACTAGCATGAAATATCTTCATGACAAGAAAATAAGGCAATAAAGGACTGGATCAGTGACATAATAAAGAAATATAACAAGATTCAGATTAAAGGTGAAATGGTTTTAAGCATGACTGTATTCAACCAGCGGGACTAATTATCAAGAAAAATTATATTGTCTCCAAAATAAACCACCATCAAGATGAATCTGTATTAGCCAGTAAGTCAGAGGCTCACTAGCAGACAGGAAAGCATTCAGAGGTTAAATGATCAAATAATCTACTCTTGTTTTAAACACGGTGACATCACAGTAACTGCACTAAACTCAGTCAATTGTGCATAAAATAGCTAATATTTAGTGCACTCCACTGTGATTGTGACAGTTGCACAGGGCCATACAGTATATTTAGAAGCACACAGAACATTCAGGACATGTTTGAAAAATGTCTTCCAAGCAAGTAAGCAGTTTAACCATTATTATATTGATATAAGATTACTTCACAGGTAAGTCAGAAACTTGTATTTTGCTACACAGACTTTGTTTAGCATGATTCTTCCTACGAAATGCCACTTCTCACATCACAGTACATAAAATCCTTTTTCTCTCACCTCACTATTCCACAGAATATTGGATATTGCATCTCATTTAAAGATCTTGCTATATTTGACTGTGTATAAATTTTACTTCTCATCAGCAAATGATATAAAGCCAAGAATTGTTCAAAGGTTACACCCTTATATCCTTCCATGCATTACTAAGTCATTAAGATAGATAGGAAGATTAAAAACATTCTTAAAACACAAGAAATACGCATTCTAGAAAGCTATTTTATCTGCAGAAGTATTTCCAATTCAACCTAAAACTTTATACTATGCATAACGTATTTCATTTAAATCACTGGTTTAAGTCACTTAATAGTTTTATGGCAGGGGAACAACAATTTCCCGCTTTACCAAGATGCACATAGCTATGGTCCCTCTCTGACATCAAGATGGCTGTTTACCTGCTCATGAATTGCTCTTTTCCTCTTCCTTAAATTAAACAGTAATCAACATTCTTTGCTTTTCTCTCTTTCCCTAAGTCGTCCTTATCTAAGAAGAAAGCATGTGCTACAATAGTAGAAGAGTTACAGTGTAAACGCAGCCCCTCTCCTCACATATATTTGGGGAATTTTTGTGTCAATTCCATTATGTTGAACCTTGAGGGTTTATAAGATTAAACAGAAACATAGTGCCATCGTAAAATTTTGTAAATATCTAGACATAAATAAGAAACAAAGTGTCAACAAATACTTAATTTCTTAGCCTATGCCTATGGAACAAGCCCACTAACTTTGCTTTCATTGTTAAAAATTATTTGTAGCACAAAGGTATGACAACTACCTTTCCAAAGGAGATGACAGTTCTTAGGTTTTAAGATGTTACATTTTCATTCCACCTTTTAAGCTGTTTGAGGAAATGTGCTTATTGTTTCTGTAATGTTTTATATTATAAAGTGGTACTCTTGTAACTTCTGGCCTATTGTGAACCATGTCAGCTTATTTTCATGACTGAGTCCCATTTAAATTATAAAGCATTTCTTCCCCTTAGGGCTCTGCATGTAGGTTTACATATTTATGCATAATATGCAGCTATAACTAGAATATGAAAAAAACTTAAGAATTGCTTCTGGTAGCATGTAACTTACAGAAGGTACAATAGAAAAGAATGGGAATGGGTTGACCTTCCAAAGAATTATTGTTCAAATACATTAAATATGAGAATATTGAAGGTGATAAATAAATAAATAAATAATCAGATGCTTTACCACTTATTTATTCTGATGAGTGATTGCTCTCTACCATTGTTGGTGTATTGACCCTGGTTCCGGTATACTCAACTGGAGACTCTGTCAGTCCTCCTGAAGACTGAACTTCTGTAAGCATGTTGAATAAAAGACTGGGAATACCTAAGAAGGCTGACTTTCCAGAACCATCACAATTCACAAACAAATGAGACTCATGCGTATATCTCAAAACAAACATCCTCAGCTTGTTACACAGCTTTTCACCTCTCATCTCTATGCCTGGAGGAATTAATCCAAGTTAGTTACTTAAACTAAAACGGTTCTCTTGTTTTAGAACTGGTTTCATCATAAGAAAACTAGGACGGCTTCTGTATCCTACCTGAGAAAAATCTCAATTATATATAATTTACCTCAATTCCACGTAGCAGGTAGAAATCACAGCCAAATTAAAGAGGTAAAACTTCAAAAAACTGAAAGGATGTGGCAATATTCGGGAAAAACCTTGCAAATAAGTTACTGCTCATGTTTAAAGTAAAGGTTAAACTCAAATTTAAACTCAGTGCAGAACACTCAGTAACCCTAAAATCATGGAATATTAATATTTATTTTGAGATAAATTGTAGTGGGTAAGAAGCTAAATGTACTTTCAAACAAGGAGTCTGAAAGCATCAAGTATTTTAAAGAGCTGCTTTAGGTCAAGCACATCCTAGCACAGTAAATCTCCTTTTCCAGTGGAAGTATCCATTGAATTTAAGAGAATACTGAGTCAAGTTCCCTCAACTAACTTCATTTTCAATGTATTTTGTATACTAGTTAGGTTTCACTCACACGTGCAATTTAATTCCACAATGGAACAATGAGAATTTATTTCCTACAGTCATCTATACTCAGAAAGTGCAATTTATACTCCCAAGCTATAAATACACAGCTTCTGAACTGTAAGTGGTGCTTCATCCTAGCTGTTAACAAGGGGGTAGATTCCCCACTTCTTCAGGAAAAAGCACAACCCATAGGTGATCTTTTTGGCTGACACCCTTGTTACATGCAATGTGTGCATGAGCTGTTTTAAGACGGGGGACTTGCCACACTCAAACCCAGTAGCAGATATAACTTTAAACTTTCCTTATACTGAAACAATTTATCAGTGGTAAGGAAATAGAAAAGAAAGGTGTAATTTTCTAAAGTTAATTTTATACAAAGGTAATTTTATTGCCAGCAGCAAAAAAAAATTAAAAATTGCAAGTGTCAGTACTACTAAACAGAGGCTGACAGGTTCAATTAATTGTAGGCAATATCTTTTATTTAAAACACTGCACTAATTTTTATAATTAGTAGGATATAAAATCTTTGGAAACCAGATATTTAAAAATTTTTTTATAGTAGTAAATATGTTCATTTTTCCCTAAAATAGCTGAAGTTATTTCTGATTTTGTAACTGAAATTTCTCTAATCTCTCTTCTCTACATTTTGTATAGAATCACGTTGAAGTTGCATTAATTTATCCATGCATCCTCTTTATAGAGACTCTTTCACACAGAAAAAGGGCATAAAATAAGCCCAAGGCAGCAAAGTTGTTGAGGAATGAAAGCTAAAATGGTGAGATAATTGGAAATATCTTGGTCTAAAATACTTCCCACCTTTGGTGTTAAAAAAGGACTAGGTTTCAAGTCAAGTGGACTCATCTTTCAAATGAGCCCTATCTTCAAGAATGTTGAACCTTTAATTTAGTATGATACATACAAAGGCTTCTTTAAATCTGTTACTGCATGAAGATTAAGATACATATTAAACTTATAAACTACGTTATGGATAATTTGAAATAAAAAAAGTCTAAATAGTAAGAAGGTCTATAAAAAAAGATATCAGTAAAGGTGTTAGTTTAAGTTCGGGAATGATTTATTTTCATGAACCCTCCATAATCTAGATGCTTGAAAGAGATGGAAAAAAAGCAGCTGAAATGAGAATTACTTGAAAAGGTAACAGAAAAAGGTGCTGTTCAGAAACATTAAAGAAGTCAGAGAATTATGCTGGGTTAAGATTTTTTTGTGACAGCTTTGCTTGTAGAAGCAAGGAAGATACGCATCGGTCAGATGCCTGAACATGCTGTTGTGACTATGAACTTACAGGAATTGACTGACTCTGGTATCGTGCTGGAGGAGTTGTAAGGCCCATAAAGGAAGGTCGACGCGTACTCATCTGTCACGGCGCTGTGAAAACTGGTTTGGCTGCTCAGGTTGCTGCTGCTACTGCTGTTTCTGTTGTATAAATTGTTGTTCAGTTCATGGTTATTTCTGTGAGGCAGCTGCAAGCTGCCATTCAAGTGGCTGGAGATATGGCTTACAGAAAAACCTGTCCTAGAGAACGATGATGTCATTTTGCTTTCATCATCATCTGAAGCGGCATACAGGTTCCCTAGAGAACTGGCTAGTCTGGAGTTTATGGAAACGCTGAATGGAAAACACATGCAGGGAAAAAAATACACACAAGGTATGTACAGATATATAAAAAAAAATAACAGACAATTCAGAAGACATTAGGTGAATAACACAGACCATTCTGACTTTGTGTTTGCACACAGGTTCATCTTCTAGCTCTCAGATAATGAAAACCAGAATTCTTTGTCAGGAGTTCCCTAAATTTGTTTATTCAAGCACCACTATGGCCAGCTTTCACCTCTTTCAAACCATATGCATGAGATTGTTTAAAAGGTTTAGGCAGGGCCTGATCTACACTAAAGTACTTTGTGTACAGGTAACAGTTTAAGAACTCCTCTCTTGTTTCTTGCAGTCAGTAATGTGATACAAGTCTTCAAGTAGCCAAGGGGTTAAAATGATAAAATTTGAGAATAAAAATAGGGTGTCCTGAAATATCTCTAAGTTAGTTATTTTCTTCAAGTAAGTATTTGTGCCCAGAAGTTATTAAAAATGCATCACTCATTCTAAACTTCATTTTGACATCTGTAACTGCTTAGTATAATAGTAATAATGGAATCAAATAGCAATAAATCAAGGGTTCGTAAAAAATCATATTACCACTCAGTATATTCTTTTGAGACTAATAGTATGTAGACTTGTGAGAATACTTTCACAATTTCTATAAAAATCCTGAGCAATGTAATACTGTTTCTGACTTGATATAATGCCACCAAAACTTTCATACCAGTAGGATAGGTTTTGGGGTTTGGCTGTTTTTTAAATCTGCAGGCAACTAAAGTTTGGCTGGTGGAACAGCAAATCACTTTGTAAATAAATTTAAGCCTTCTAACACCCAAGAACAACAAGTGCTTCATAGACTGCATATGTGCTCAAAATCATTGTAGTATACAGTAAGTATGTGTACCAAAATGAGAAGAAGGAAAAAAACCTTTTAAGGTTGGAGCCTGAGGATGTGGGAATTCTGCTTATTCTTTCTGCAGATGGGGAATTAACTGCCATCACTTTGGAGGCCTTCAGAGGAGACATGGATCCTTCGGTGCTACCTGAAGTATTCAGTCTACAAGGAGTGCAGAGTTTTAGTGAGAAACAAGATTTTTATAATAGAAATATACATCTTAGAAACATACAGTCTTTCAAGACATTGACTGGTATTTTAAAAAGTGGAAATTCTTCAGTCCAAGTACTGAGAACTCAATAGCAAAAAATCAGTCTGCCTGTTTACAAGTATCTTTTCAAAAAAACTTCAAATATTTAACTCCCAAGTTTTTCCCTGCTGTGCCACATTATAGTTTTAGGCTACTTTTCACCTTGATAATTTGTGAATGTTAAGTGTCCAGTTTGTATCTAACTTATTGTAAATTTGATTATAGCATTTAAACATTGTAATTTTGAGAAAGAATACTTCTTATGCTCATAAAGCAAGTATGAGTAGAAAAAAACAACATGGTAGCTTTAATAAGAACATCATTGCTTCCAAATGACAGCAAGTACATTTTTAAAGTTGCACAGAACATATAGCTCTTGCTAGGGTGGGACTCTTAATGACCAAATTCCTCATATTTTGATAATGAGCTGTAAGTATGGTACACTGGACCACTCAAAAATGTTAGCATTAAAGCTGTCCATATTAGTTTATTAAAAACTAATAAATGAGCAGCCTCACAGCAGTATGAAATTCTCTCCATACTTAGACCAGGGGATCATGATCAGCTCTTAATGGATGAAAGACCTTGGGTACAAGTCTCCAACTACAAGCACAGAATGGAATTACATTGGGCAGAAATAGCTTTAATTCCACAGCAAGAAAGGGTAAACAGGTATCTCCAAGGTTAGACATCTGGAGTAATATGTCTCAAAAATCCAGATTGTCACAAAACTGAAAAGAATGTATTCTTTTCAGTATTAATGTTTTATAATGACAGATACTCTGTCTTACATGTTGCATTTTAGATGCAATGGGGTAAAGGAGGCAATGGTTACAAAACCAAAAGACTCAATTTTGCCATTCCTATAACTCTTAAAATTAAGTAAATTTTCACTGTATGTTTTGTTTTCTTTTGGGGTATGCTGTCAGTACTGATTTGAGAATAGTACAGGTCATAAATGAAATAAACATTTAGAAAATGAGAAGAAACTATTGGTTTTATTGGCTCCACAAAAAGTTCTGAACAAAGCATGTAGTGTACTGTAAAGCGTACAGTGAGGACCCTGTATTAAAATATGAAAAGGTACCAAAACTCAATATTTATCTGGTACATCTTCTAAAATAAAGTACTGATTGAATACACTAAACAATACCTCTAGTTCATCTACTAAAACACACAGTTTTACATATCACAAAAATTGTGATATGCAGACAATATGTAGCTGATTTAGGCTTTTGAGACAAGTATTTAATTTTACAGAGGTGAAATGGTTATGAGTTAACTAGTCATCCTTCATTGCCTAACAGCATAGATGTTGGAAAATATGATTGAGGAGATTACTTACCTGTATGTGCTAATTATTTATTAAGAAGAATTCAAGGTATTCACAAAGTAGGGCAGTGGCCCCCTGTCCATTAGATGGTTTTTTTCCCCCCCATTTGCATGTGTTTAAAAACGTTTGTTACCTGCCAATTCTCAGAAGTCTGAAAGTGCTAATCAATTGATGTGATAAGTACCATTCAAAATGCTGAAAATTTAAGACTTGTGATACATATTTAGAACTATAATTTTAAAGTTAATACCTGAAAGGTTGTGATATTGACCTGGTGTGCAGTTTCATGTCTTGCAGCCTAAAGAAACAAAAGCTGCAATCTTTATCAAAGGATAAAAAGCCTTTTCGCTTCCCCAGAGCATACTTGCATGTCTCATACTGGCTTTAAAGTACAAGACTAAAAAGAGTTAAGAATTGTTGACAGTCGTTTTAATTTACAGTTAAACAAGAGAAGTACTTTGGGTTTATTTTCAAACTTCACATTTTTACTGGTTCTGAAAAATTCAAAATTTATATAAGGATTACAGAAAAGTAATTCTATAAAGATAACTAAGTTCATTGAAGAATATTTTGTTTGAGACATAAGTTTTAAAATGCTAGATAGATATAAATTTGAAGGTTTTGAGATATGTATTTTTTTACTTTTTCTTTTACTGCTACATAATAAGTAGATATACTGAACAGGGGATGCAGAAGGGGAAAAAAAAAAAAAGAAATTAATAAACCAAATCTGCAACTCATACATATATACCTAGAGAAATTTCCACCACAGAAGGTGGTACAATCAGTACCAATGACTTAAACAAGGCCATGTACATGCCATAAAGATTTGATGGCACAGACTGAATTTAAAATGCAAATTATCTCAGAACTAATTAATTACCTCAGAGCTCCAGTTGTAGCAGAACACGGCCGTCTCCGAGTTTTTAAGGCATTAAGCTTATCTCCCTGTGTCATGCCATTCTGAGCTTCCACACCTGCTTTGTCTTCAAAATCATTCTGGGAAACACAAAGTATGCAAGCAAGGAAATATATCAAATCCTTAGTAGTGGTGTAGTTTCAAAGTATTGAACATCTCCTTCGCAAAGATAATAATTTAAAAGCATAATCTACATTCTTCTACATACATGGGGCCCTACTCTGTCTTTGCCTAGTTCAAGTAAATTAAATGTGTCATTGTACAAACTCACATTCACAGAGGCTTTCTGCAGAATCTGACCTCAAAGTCAGTTCAGGATGCTTGAGTCTAATGCCAGTGTCTATTTACTTCCAAGAAGTCTGCTTTTATAGAACGTAAACTCCATCTCCTTCCTACATAACTATTTTTAAAGTTACCATCAATGTGGAAGGCAAGCAGTAACACACAATTTTGTGATATGCATAAGATGAAGAAATTTAGATAGTGTGTCCTAAAAGAGGACATAAAAATCAACTTTACTAAATTACTACATTTAAAAAAAAAAAAAAGTTCTTGTGACCACCAGAAAAATAGTTTTGAAAAAAAATTCCCTGTGAGAACTTAATCAGGAATATAGGATGAATAGATTTCAGAGTGTTATCCTACTTCTTCCAGCTTTAGAAAATATTATAAATTCTAAGAAATATTAGAAGTGTATGCTAACCCTGTTTAAATGTCTATTTATAATTTCTTAACAATCTCAAAACAGACTTTTCTAAGACTCAAGTATTAAGTAGAGACAGTATCTTAAGTAGCAGAGGAATGAGTTACACAAAGAAAGAGAACTGCGATTTTTTTGTCAAATGAAAAAAAAAAACTTATACCAATTATGCTTCATTTGATCTCAAATCAAGTACTTGTATTACTGCAGTTCCTATTGTGCCTAAGTGACCCCACTGTTCTGCATAAAACAGAACAAGAGTTCCTGCCATAAATCAGTATAAAAGATTGGCAGAAGTAATACAATAAAAGTTAATCAAATGATGTGATGGTCCAAGAGTTGCATTAGTTATAGGCAAATATAAATATTTTAGCTGGATTTCACTGCTGTTCTATCCTCCGATTCTTAGACCTTAGGCATTTTTGGGACAGGGAACACTACCTTGTTTTGAGCTTCTAGAGAGCCTAGCATAATGAGGTCTTGAAATATAACCAAATATCCAAAGAGATAAAGAGGTAAGTTAAATGTTCTGAAAACTGAATGCTAAACAGCTTTAATATGACATCCATAAAAAACTGAAAAACACATATTACAGAGAGAGCTACAGTAGAAAAAAGCAGCACTGTGAATTTATATTGTGAATCTGTACATAAGCTGCTACACAGTATACAGGTAGTTGAGTTACCTGCAAGTAAGTTGCCTTGAATACTGGAGCAGTAAAGTTGTAGTAGTAGATCAGATTCAAAATCATTACTTTCACCCATATTGCTATGATCATCTCTAAGCAGTCTTATATTCTTCAGTTAGTAATCTAGAAGTTTAACTTTACATATTCCAAATCACAAATTGAATTTCCAAAAGGGAAACAGTACTTTTACAGAAATGCATTCAAGGTGCTCTCCAAATTATGATAGATCACATGATAGGTGATTATTTGAATTTATATTAATAACTATCTGAAGAAGGTGCCCACTACATCCCTGGTCTTTTACATCAAGTAAAAGATTTCCTCAGCAACATAAAAGCTCTTTAGCTATTACAGAGCTAAGACAGGATTAATCAAATGCATAGTTCCTCTAAACTGCTTCTCACAAATACTGCAGGAAACCACAGTTTAAGATTTTCTCTAGCCCAGAAGCAGAATTATATTCACTTTAGTTCACACTTCATACCTGTACTTTAAAGAAATAATTGTAAAATCCTTATTATAAATGTACACATCACATCAGTAATCCATGACACTGCGATAAAGGGATGGACATCTATACACTCATGCATTATTAGCCAGAAACTCTGAATAGATTTCCAGGAGGAAAAGTGATTTATTTTTTTCCTCCATTCTCCAATAAACAACTGAAAACCCTGAAAGAATGACTTGAAATAATGCAAACTTTTTGAAGTTTACAAAATGACCTGTAACAGTTTTAAATATAACTTACGCTTTTTTTTTTTTGAAAAGGTGATTTGTTCTAATTATGACCTATAAAACCAAAAAGTTTAGCTGTGAAAAAACAATCTAGTACTAACATAAGCCTAAAAAAAAAAAAAAAAATTAAAAATTATCTATAGCTACTTATTAAAAGATCAGCTCCATCTCTGTTTGACATTTTCCCTATAAACTCTTACCTCCCTGTATGGATCCAAGTCCTGCACTTTATTCAAGCTGTCACTGATTGAAATGTCATTCAAGCCACAAAGAACTCTATTTATGTTTCCATCAACTACTCCTTGTTTCTGCTTTGATCGGGTGAGATCTCCCTCCAGCCATAACATTGCTTGCTTCCTTCAGGATACAAAACCAAATCAATTCATATCAAAAAATTTGCATACATGTAAAAAACAATATGAAAACATGCTACTCTTACAGATTCTCAACATTTGAATCTTCTATACATCTTCATCTGGAGAAAAAAATCTGAGTGTCTTACCAAAAAATCAAAAAACCAAAAAAACCCTCTTAACTTTCAATGGTTAAAAACAACAACAACAAAAAAAACCAGAATCACCAAACAAGTCTAGTCATCACAGAAATATAACAGGTACTAAAACTTCACTTTACAAAATCCTACTGGGAAAAGAGACTAACTAAACAGGAATTTGAAATGGTATTTTCAAGGCTTTTAAAACACAACTTAAAAATTCATATAAAATAATGTTTTCATATATGTAATGTATAGAATAAGTGATGATACAGCACTTTCTAGCTTCCTATTAGCATGAGTTTTGTGTACACAGATATTGTGCAGTAAAACTACAGCTGACCTGCACAGTGGAAGTGGTCATAGTTATGTAAAATTGAACAGGACTCTAGTATCAATTTTCAGAAAATGAAAGATTATATCCTTCAGACAGGTGGTAAAAAAATAATTGCTACAATGTGCATGGGCTAAGCAGGCTTTTGTTGATGAAACTGCATTAATCCTCATTAAGGAAGTTTGCTGGGTAGGTACTGGTCATGCTAGTTCCATCTAAGAACTGAGACACTATTACATAGTATTGTAACAAAATTGAATTCCTATACTGTACAAAGGAAAAAATGAGGAATTAAATCAGAATATACTTTCACTGGAAACTTTTCTTTATTAGAAAACAAAATATTATGGCAAAGCTTAAGAGCCAAGTAGTCTGATCCAACTGCCTAAACTTGCTCAATAATAAATGGGAAAGGTAAACACTTCCAGAAAAATTTCACTATGTCCCAAAAAAACAGCAAGAGAAGGGAGGAGGAGTGGGCAGAGGAAGAGGGAGCACCACTTATTCCACCTAACAGAAGTAGCCTAGAAAACATGCTTGAATTTAAATACCCTTGAAATCTTTTAAGATTAATTGCATTCACAATAACAAACTGACTGGATACCTACTTGGCTGGGAGAGTCTCTACAAAAAAGCCCACTGAAACCTCCATTATGAAACCTCAAAGAACATAAGAGATGAAGCTTTCACAAGGTTGGGAGATCAGAGTTGCAAGATTTTACCTTTTTGTCAGATGCAACTTTGCAGCCCCAAGGGCAAGATATTTTGTATCAGACTGATGGCACTGATGTTAGCTCCTTTCTCAAACCCATTCTGACACTACTGGTGACGTTGCTTGAATCTTGTCTGATCGTCAAAACAGGCATCTATTGCCATTAGGACAATAGAAAATTCTAACTGAACAATACTACAGCTCTTAGCTATGAACAATTTAGGTATGAAAGAAAAAGATCTGAAGGAATTTTGCCTGTCTATAAAATCAAACCAAGTATTTATACGCCACTTCAAAAAAAGACACGGGCCCTGTTTTTCCTATCTTTCAAGTAAACAGCATTTAATAATGATACTATCTACTACCTTTCACTCTTAATTTTGCTCTACTGTGGAAGTTATTTTTAAGATTGCATCATCCAAGCATCAGCATGGTGTGGAGAAATTTAACCTGACTTCATTGAGCACTTGTGGTTTGTAAAAGTTTGTGATTCACAGTACTTTGAATAATGGTGGGTCACCTCTCAAGAAAAGGAGTGCCCATTCAGTTGCACTGGAAAATAACTAGGAATCCTCATTCATGTTCAATTTCTCTTACAAATTACAGTAATACTCCTTCTTTCTCTCTGATATCCTACGGATTTTAAGATGCAAAGTCAGTGCACATTTTACTGTGTTTATACAGTATCTAGCAGAGCTGTTGCATTATCTTTTTTCCAAAGAGAGACAAATTTGTGGGGGGTTTTCTCAAAATGTTTTTTCTGATAACAGTGAAAATGCCTCCAACTAAATATCATCATGGTATCAACTCAAAAATATAAGCATAACCACTGTAATAGCAAATGTACAATGTAGAAACCACTATGAAATTAAACTTAATGTCTACATCTGTGAAGCCAGTGCAATTTTGTCATTCACTTCCAGTCAGGATCAAACCTTGAATCACCCATTCAAATCATCTGTACATGCAATGTACTCAAACCAATGTATACAGTCAATTTTGAGAAGGAGCTGTATTAAAACCATCCGTTTGTTTTGCTAATGACTATTAGCTCCAAATCAGAAATGCTTTCTACATTATGCTAAGAATCTGACAGAGATCACAAGCTGTCCACCACGTGCTTATTTAATCTTTAGTTCCAAGAAAGAAAACATAATATCAATTATACCATTGTAAAATTAAGTATCATCATAGCCTATATATAAAACCTATCCTTTCTATGTTAATATTTTAATAAATCCTTATTATTGATTTAATCTTTTGTCCACATCTGGACTTTACACTTCCAACACATTTTTCTTTAACTCCTAAATCCCCCAGAACACAAACATGCAAAGTCTTGAGACCCTCTGCCCCTTAAGGTGACAAAATGCATAGCAGTCCAGAGAAGAGAACTGCTATTGAGTAAGTTTGATTTCAATCCCAAATAAACTAACCTTAATTATATTGCAACAGGCAGTAATATACGACATCAGCAGACAGAAAGCAGATCCTATAAATAGTGCAAGATGGATAAGGATGTAGAGAAGCAGCTGTTTCTCAGTAGCAAAGAAGGTATACATACTCTTCCAAGAAGTGTTGCTGGGGTCCTATAATAGAGCCTGGTCGACATATTCTTATCCAAGCAATGGCTTCAGCATGCGTGAACTTATAGTGCTTCATTATGTAACAGGCAATCAGTGTTCCTGTTCTCCCCAGACCAGCTACAGAAACACAAATATCAACATCCACATACGAAGGCATGAGCATTTAATAATTATCAAATTAAATATGGGATACGAGTTCTCTGCAATATTATTCACCAGCTTAATATTTGAAGAAAGAATTTCTGATTCAGTATCCCATTTATCATATAATTGGATTTCAATGCTGTGGATATAAAACCAAATATACCATGCTTTGAAAAAGTTAACAGCATTTAAGAACACATGCAACAGTAATCACTCTTGGCACTTGTAGAATTCTAGTTCAAAATTAAAAAAAAATAAACAAAACCAAAACAGACCAACAAAAAAATGCTGATATATTTTCAAAAAAACTGTGACCAAGCTGGATACAAGCTTCCTATTTATAAAACCAGGAAAAAACAAAATCAAAGTATCTTTGAGAAGCCAACACACATTCTTTATAAATCAAGGTTCAAATATGTGCAAATACCTGTGCACATGATAACAGACAACAGTCTTCTCAGCCAGTGGCTTTTTCTTTCTGAATCAGTTTTGTTGTGAAACCAACCTATAAAACTATTCACTGCTATCTGTATAGCAGCAATGAATGTCGACCAACATATAATTTTATATACCAATAACTTAAAATAATTTAGCCAATTGCCCCCCAAAAACCAATCTAAACCTGGTTTTAAGGGGAGACTAGAGACACAAAAATCAGCTCTTACTATCAGACAAATCTCTAACCAGAGAGTAAGAATTAGCCTCTCTCTAACCCTGTGTCTTACCTACTAGTAAAGTGTCTCCCCATTTGAACCTTATTTCCCCTCAAATATTGTATTTACAATTGACAGTCTCATGGTGGCCAGCTAGTGTTTATGCACCAACTATCTAAATGGAAACTCTCTAAGCAGCCAGACATCTTTGCTGATAATTCTATACAAAAGTACAAGCTCCTAACATTTATCCAATAATGAAACGTTGCTGTGACTTTATTGAAAGTTAAGATGATTCAGGTGAAAGGATGAAGGTAAAAATTCACAAATAGTGAGATTCCATAACTGCATATTGTAAGACTAGTTCTGAAGAATCATTTAAAAAGAGGAAATATTAGAGAGAGCGTTGGGCTTGGGTTTTTTTGGCTTTGGGTGTTGGGATTTTGTCTGGTTTTTGGTGGTTATTTTTTAAGTGCAAAAGGAATGCAACATGCAAATAGATAACAGAGTTGTACTTTACTAAACATACATGTGAATAAGTAAATCATCTCTGAAAATTGCAGGTAAAATCTACCAACTGCATATATCTCTAAGACTTTAGTACTTTTATGCAAGTTCTTGCCAATGTACAAACTTTTCATAGCAAGCTCTTGCATTAAACCATTCCACAACTTCTAGGACAAGTAATTTCTAGTGTGGAAGCTGTGCTTGAAATACTTCTGCAGTAAGAGTACAAGAAAGCTACAGACAATACATTAACTCTAAGCTAATTGTTGATTTAACTTTGGATAGGCTTATTTAGAAGAGCCTAAAAAACCTAAAAAGAATGAGATTGATTATTTCCTTATTAAATGGTCAGATGACAGACTAAAAATATTTCAGTTTAGCAAGTGCATATCTAAGTCACTAAAAAAGTATACTGTATTCCTTTAGCAACTAAGCCCAGAGAGTAACAATGTACTCCTGCTAATCAATAGTTTATACTCTCATTTAGTCAACTAGCAGATGTCCAGCTTATTAATGTCAGAATTTCTGGGTGCTAGCCACAATAAGAACTTGTTAGCAAATAAACTTATTTATCTCTGATATGCATGTTTATTGTTCATGGAAAAATTATGAATAGCATTATTCTTGTTTCAGAGGAGTAAGACATTCGTCTCCACAATGTCCTTACACAACTCTAAACATAAATCAAGCTGAACCCTTCAAAGCCTTTGTTAATCATTCTTGACTAAGCATGTTTTGTGTATTTTCTGGTTGATTTGCTGAAATAGGCTGGTTTGAAATGCTGGCATCACAATAACTTGCATTAACTTGAAATGTAGAAGTTACGCTCCACAGAAAAATGTAGAGTAGTCTAAAAACACAAAGAAAACCTTTGAGTCTTTTGCATTTCCTAGCCAATTATCATAATGCTGTGAAAGCATAATGCAAAGGAGAAATCTCCATCAACTAAAACTCATGTCTTCAAGTGATACTAAGAAAAAACAGAACAATGAACAACAGATGGTCAGTTACTGTAAGTAGTAGTGTAGGATGAAAGAACTTAATAAGCACATGAAAACAACAAATATTTGTCATATATTTAGTCTAGTTAAAGCAATATTACTTTCACAAGCAGAGTGTGTTATTTTTTAAATGCTTTATTTCTGTAATAAACTCTATGGATTTATACTTATTTTGAACTTCAATCTGGGAAATAAGTGCACATACCTTTACAATGTACAGCAATAGCACCATCAGCATTTTCACAGATGTTCAGGAACCTCTGAACTATACTGTCGCTTGGTGTGCTTCCATCTATGAAGAACAGGTCATAATGTTCAAACCCAGCATCAGTAAAACGCTTTGCCTCATAAATTTTTTTGTTTAGTCTTATGATTGATGTGACATTATGTTTCTTGAAATAGGGAAAGTAGGCTTCAGGTGCATGAAGAGGATAACCTATAAAAAAGTAAAGCAACAATCATTTAATGTCATAGATGAGGTTCAAAGTCCTACTAATCAAAATTGCACCCAAAACCTTTTCTGAATTATAAATGTGTTAATACTGAAAATGCTTTAGTATTTTATTCAGTATAAACATGTTAAGTGATATTGAAAAACTGCCTACAAAATGTTCATAAAGACCACTATAATTAAAGGATGCAAAAAAAAAAAAAAAAAAAAAAAAATCAAAGCACAGTGTATGTGAAACACTGTACTGTCTCCTGTTTAGCTCATTCCTCTCTACAAGTAGGGTTTTATACATAAAGCTAGGCACATATGGCTTCACTAAGGGCAAATTGTGCCTGATGAATTTGGTGGCATTCTACAACAGGGTTACAGCGCTGGTGGATAAGGGAAGATCAACTGATGTCTTCTACCTGGACTTGGGCAAAGCATCTGACACTGTCCCGCATGACATCCTTGTTTCTAAATTGAGGAGACATGGATTTGATGGATGGACCACTGAGTGGATAAGGAATTGGCTCAATGGTCACTCTCAAAGAGCTGTGGTCAATGGCTCAATGTCGAAGTAGAGAACAGTGATGAATGGTGTTCCTTAGGGGTTGGTATTGGGAGCAGCGCTGTTTAACATCTCTGTTGGAGACATGGACAGTGGGATCGAGTGCACCCTCAGCAAGTTTGCCCATGATACCAAGCTGTGTGGTATGGTCGACAGACTGGAGGGGGGGGATGCCATCCAGAGGGACCTTGACAGGCTTGAGAAGTGGGCCTGTGCAACCCTTGTGAAGTTCTACAAGGCCAAGTGCAAGGTCCTGCACGTGGGTCACGGCAATCCCAAGCACAAACACAGGCTGGGAGATGAGTGGATTGAGAGCAGCCCTGTGGAAAAGAACTTGGGGATAGTAGTGGACGGAAAACTGACTGTGAGCCAGCAATGTGTGCTCACAGCCAAGAAAGCCAACAGTGTCCTGGGCTGCATCAGAAGTGTTGCCAGCAGGTCAAGGGAGGGGATTCTCCCCCTCTACTCTGCTCGCGTGAGACCCCACCTGGAGTCCTGTGTCCAGTTCTGGAGCCCCCAACATCAGAAGGACATGGACCTGCTCGAGTGGGTCCAAAGGAGGCCACAAAGATGATCAGAGGCTGGAGCACCTCCCTTATGAGGGCAGGCTGAGAGAGTTGGTGTTGTTCAGCCTGGAGAAGAGAAGGCTCCAGGGAGAAGTTATAGCTGTATATAAAATGTTCATTGTATGATTATTTCTGAAGATGAAAATTAATCTATAAACCTCTATTATCTTCTGCTCATTTGCTGTGACTGTTTAACATGCTGGAAAAAATAACATCACAGAATAGCATTAAAATATACACCATACCATTTTCAAGTTTGCTTTTTGGGTGTGGTCCACTAAATGCCAAAAATTTTCCTGGAACAATCCAGTTGAAGTCACCATTTTCCACTCGCTATAAAAATTTCAGAAGAGAAATAGAAAACCTTTTTAATATCTGTACATACAAGGTTAAAAAAATTACTCAAGATTTTATTTTATTTTTTACTATGTTTTTGCTGCATTAAAACTAAACCCTTCAAATTCAATTAGCCTATATTGGGACAAACTAACTAACCAGAAGCTGCTTCTCTGGAATCTCTTAATAAAATGAAATGCAAAAAGTTTTCCTGAAGTTTTACAATAAGAGCAGAAAGACCTTTTATCTAAGATATTTCACCCTGAGAGGGTTCAGCATTTTAAGACACCTACTTATAACAACACTGACAAGCACCACCATTCTTGTATGTTTTAATCAGAGAATATGGAAAAATGCTTCACTGTAAGGCACTGGCTAAAAAACCCAATTCACAGAAAACAAATTAAAAATAAATTAGCTTTCAAAAACAATTATCCTTTCCCTGTAGAAACTAAAATTTATATATTGGCATAATCTCTGATGAGCCAGTAATCTCAGAAGCAAAGTATAAATCAAATGAAAAAACTAAATAAAAAGAACTTTCAAACTGTGGTTGTTCACCTTACTTTCTCACTTTTAAATGAAAATTTCAAAAAGGCTCTGCAAATTTGGTCAGTGCCAAAATTGGAAGCTTCTTTGGAAATGCATAACTGAAGTTCAAAACACTCTTAATTTTTTTTTTTAATTGAAGAGTGCTCATTCCTCATTTGGCAATGCACTTATCCTCAGCATGACTTTTAAGGACACAGCACTCAATTCAACTGCATTATTAAGCTTGTGTTCTTAGCTCTCAGCTCATCAAAACATTCTAATGAGTGAAAGGTTCTGATAATGCCCATTACTGTAATCAATTCACCAACTGTTTCCTCAGCTAAGCCCATTAGTCTTGCTCTAAATGTCACCACACAGTCAAAACTCCTGTAAGTTAACAAGGTTGCATAAAGACTAGTGAAATGATCTTATTGCCAAGTCAGGACCCCTTACTACCCCTCCACCCCCCAGCAATTTGTATCACAGACTGCAATCTCAACATTGTACCACCTCTACCCCCTTTTTAATGAAGAAGTCCTGTTCAATGAGCTAAAAGTGTTCTTGTATTTGTATTATCAGTTTTATTTGTGAATTAAGTTGTTCATTATAGTTACATGGGTTATTGTGAATAATTAAAATTTTAACTAATCTTAACTACATATATAGATATGTGTATGCATGTATATATATTCAACACTACATGCAAACAACATTATTAAAAAGAAAGAGAACTTGAGTATTTTACATCTAGTCCAACAAAAAGGGAATTAACTGCCTTCATAACATAGTAAGATGAAAGAACTAAAAATGTGAAATAAAATTTCGTTTAGCCTGCTCCCTTTAAGTCTTATGTAACTTTTCTCCACGTAATTACACATTTGAAGACCTAACATAGCAAAAACCTGGAACATTTAAAGTTTTCGAAATACAGCACAGGACATAGCTAAACACACAAAGCTGACCATGATGTGTAAAATAATAGACGACACACCAAAAAATGGGCAAAAAATTAAAGATGATTCCAGGTTCTTGCTGCTTAAACTCAAACAGCGGGCAGCATACTTTAAACATTATTCACACATACATACTTATCACAAACTAAGATAATGTTAAGCATTAGACAAGATGGGATAGCTTTAGTCAATTATTTTAATACTTCTTTTCAGGCAGATTAATGCCTACTATATAAATAGAATCCTAAGAATTTCCAACCATCATTTGTTTTTAGAACAAACATTTTCCTTTTATATAGAGACTAAGCAAAAAAGCAGCAATTTCATACCTGAAATTTTAGTTACTGTTCATTTAATTTCTTTAATTCAGCAAGGGCTGTACCAATTTCCCAATCTAATCATTATGGAAAGTTACAGTATACAGAAATCTTTCCACAAATGGTTTTAAGTTTTGTGAATAGCTGTATGTTATAGTGTGCCTATTGCAGCCAACATCTACTGTATAGATTTGTGTTGTAAATTTTTTCCACTGTTTATTCCTCTCCTGACTTCACCCTCTTTCTTGAACATTTATGAAGCATTTCCTACAGCTGTATGTATTTCAGATACGTACTGTCACCCATATCTTCTTGCTTGTAAATCAAAATAGTTACTTATCAAATGTTAGAGATTTAAGAAAAGCAATTATCCCTAAAACTTGTTTGATATTAGAAATATTCAACTCAAGATAACAAATTTTTAAATGGACGTTTTTAGACTAAGCAAATTTATTTTTGTTTTCTGAAAATTGCAGTACAGGGGCTGGGGGGAGGAATATCAGCTACAAGAAAGTAACATAACTCTAAAAAAAGAATTTAATATATATTCAAATGTTTAGTACACCTCCAGTTTATATAGCTTTCTCCTTAACCAATGCAACTGCAGGAACTTCAGGGAGTTCCAAAGACATGGTCATACAGCTACATGGTTGTCACTGACTTCAGTTAAACTCTTTCCCTTTTTCTGAGTGTGGGAAATGATAGACAATGATCATGCAACTATTGTGGACCAGATGTATATACACCTTCTGTGCTTGCAATTTCCTCTGTACACAGTCCACTTCACAAGTGCAACACAGGCATATTTTAAAGGTTCTCTGAAGCAATATAGCTTGAGGTAACTGTCTATTACTAGCAGATAAAGGTGTGTATGTTACAGAACAATGTCCTAGAAGCACCTAGAGTCATCCAGAGTATCCTTAAGTTGTAAGAAGGCTGGCAGAACAGTGAATGACAACTGTTAGCTTTCTGGGACTTCATTAGGGAAATATTGTATATGTCTTTTCATTATAGGAATCTTCATATGCACCCTTAATACAAAAGCTCAAAAAAGTGCTTGATCTATGTGGATATAAAAAATTTATCATATATTTGGGACTAATAGCATCTCAAGAAGCAGCTCAACAAGCGTTTAAAGAAAACACAGATTTTGTGGATCAGTTGGGAGACGTTGGATCATATCCCGGGGGAAGGTTGGGAAAACATGAAAGAGGTCTCAAGAAGCCAGAAAGGCTATGAGAAAGCAGCAGACTGATTACATGATGCACTGAAATTGCAAGGATATTCATCCTGCATTTTTTTCACATACAGCATAGTGGTTTGAATGTACACACCTGATATATGAACACTGGGTTTTACTTGAATTAAAATGTGTTTCCAGTATGTTTTAAATTGTGGGATACTGTACCCTAATTTACTTTAGGTAATTCAAACACATTCAACTCATTATTAAGTGTACAAACCTCATAGTGTTCATATTCATCCACATCAAATGTCTTAAAGTCAAAAAATCCATGCTGCAAGGCCTAAAAGGTAACAAGGTGTCAGTTTATACTGAAATACGATATATAATCTTATTTTATAATACCGTTTTTGAGAACCAAAACTAAATCACTACATGTTTGTGATTTTGCCTTAGTGAAGCCTCTATGTTAAGACAACATTACATTTTGCACAGATTAACAACACAGACAACAAAAACTCCAACAATGTCACTAAAGCATGTCCGGCTCATTATTTCCTCTTCAAAGACATTTAAATGGGACATAACGTTGTTGCATATCACTTAACTCATTAAACTGATTCTCTGCATTCCACTATGTATGTTTTTTTCTGTAAAGCAGATTACAAATTAAAAGCAATTCCCTTTTTGTCATACACTCATTCAATGATTTCTATGATGAATATGTTTTCATGCAGTTGGACAGAATGAAATATAGAACATTAAGATTTTATCAAATTTTCCATACTTAATATGGTACTCTGATTTTATCAACATAATACCCTGGCAAAATGGCATATAGAGAATACAGTACTGTGTATACTCTGTATTTTATGATTTGCTTTTAATAAACATTCCACTGATAAAATGAAGTTCACTAGATTATACTAGACAGCGTTTATTACGGCATTAAAGAAGTCAAGCTTTGTATTTGATTACTATACTATTATTATATATACCAATTATGTACTAAAGATTTGTGTATAATACCATATTAAAAACAATTCTATGAATAAGGAATTCATAGCCCAAACTCCTTCCAAGGACTAGTTGTAAGAAAGTTCTGCAACATATATTTATACTGAACCTACTGCATTCTGGGAAATATAGATAGTACACAACATTCTGGGATTAAGGTGTGATAAAAAACACACCACAAATCTATGCTTTAAAAACCAACAATCATCAGTCTGCCATTATTTGCGACATATAGAACACCTTTCTAAAGACAAACCAAAAATAGCTTTGTTATAGACAACAGGGGCTCAAAGACTGGACCTATGATGAAACCTAAGATACTGAGAGGTTTGTCTGAACAGCTGATTTTGAAAAATATATTTAATTTAAGCATGGTCGGCTGGCTGCACTCCAGAATTCATAGGCTTCTTGTACATGCATATGATATATGTGCACATAAACACTAAATTGACTCAGGTAGACTAAGAATTTACTTTAGATTAAGGCATGCAGTTTCTGCTCAAATTCTTTTTATCTCTCTAGGTGAATTGGATAAAAATTCAGTAATAAATTTTATGGGAACAAAGGAGGAAAGACTGAGTCTCAAAGTCCTTTTGATGTGTTTGTTGCAGGTAAGTTACACTGACTGCACTGATTGCTTCACAGAGCTTCAGGATCCATAGAATGCCACAGAAACTAAGAGTCTTGCTGTTGACTGACAGCTCCGTTCCCACCCCCACAAAACTAAAAATATTAAGCTCGATCCCTCTTTTTTAAAATTTTAAGAAACACTTTTTTTGCTACACTTTTAACAATTACAAATAGTCTGTACAGAACTGTTTATATAGCCTGATCCTTTCATCGAGATCACTGGGAATTTATGAACAAAATTTCATCTTTGTTTATAGTATGAAGTATATACTATAACACATGGTTGCCAATTAAGATGTGACATAACATTATTTATAAAGCAACATTGGAGCTAAATATTCCCCAGGACCAGAACTGCTGAAAGTGATACATAAGTAATGATGCTCTAGTAAGATACAGTAGTTTTCATTCTTTTTAAACAATTCTGAAAAGATTGGTGTCAAACATTGAATCAAGTGTTTTGGGGGAAAGTTAGGGCTAAGTACAGGCAAAAACTGCTTAGATTAAATCACAATATACTTAGGTGTCTGTCTCACTTGTCTATGTCAACCTATATTATTCCCTTTTACCAATGGTTATAAATGATCTATTAGCAGATCTAATATTGCTCTGTTACCAACTGCCCCTGGTAGGCCTGGTGCGTTTGCACATTCCATTTCGTAAAGTGAATTTCAGAATGCTGTCAAAGCCCAGGCCAGCCAGGTAAAAGCGTAACCTTCCACTGTCACTACCCAAACATGGTCCTCAGTAACTTAGGCTTCACAACAACATACTACTCGTTCACACGCATTTTGCTTTGAAACCAGATTTTCTATTGTATTTTAACAGTATTTTCCTTCACGTTTTAAAAGTCAATTTACATCTGTTTTGCTAAGGAAAAGTGTTATTACCTTATTTATTCCCTGTAAACAGTCCAAGATTGTAAGATTGTATGTGCAGTTCCCAAATGAAGCATCCCTATAGATTTAATAGAAATAAATATACACAGAATTACGTTAAGAACTCAGGGAAAAGCAACTAACAACAGAACATATTAAGGTTATTCAATCCCTTCTGAGAACTCTGAATTAAAGTTCAAAGAAGACATCTTTTTAGAAGCTTGTTCATGCCAAAGCACTCCCCTACTGAAGATGTAGCTTAATGCAAATGCAGTTAGATGCTGCAAATTACTTCAAGTGCATATTTTACATCAGCTAACTATGTGCCCTTTACCAAATCATTTATGCTGTTCTGGAACAGGAAGCTTTGTATCCTCTCTCTATTGTGTAAGGATAGTAGCAAATAAAGCAAAACTTGCTTTAACCATTATTTAAGTCTTAACCGAGTTACACTGCCTAACAGGGAAGAGCAAATAGACTACTAGTTTGGATTTCATTTACAAACTCTCATTTTGATGCCTGATTACAGATGTAATTAAAAAATATCCAGCTATAATTAAATTTAAAATTACTTAACCTCAGTTCTGCTACTATGAAAATAACAATTTCTCTTTAAAAGATGACAGGATATCCCAAAGCAAAACATATTGAAGTGGTAAGAGACACCAACATAAAAGCAAACACCATCACCAAAAGAATAACAGCAACAAATGCATTGTGGAAAAAAGAAAAATTTCTTTGCGTTTTAACAAAATTCTGCCTAGGCAGATTATTTTCTAATCAATCATTAAAGAAATCATTTACAGTTTTCTATCTTACCCAGAGTGCTAAGAACTGCAGTTTATCAGAATAGCAAAATTTTAGGTTTCAGCCAGATACATCTTTAACCTATAATTGATGCAAAATTTCAATCTTTCACTGAAAACTTTCTTTTTTTGATAGTCTACTTGCTGTAAGTAATATGAAATTTGCTATACTGATAGGCTCCTTCAATCCCAAGTACTTTAAGGACAGAATATTCTCACCTATTCTGTAAGAGCAGAATAAGTACAGCAGTTATGAACAAGCAGTCTTCATAGAAAATGTATTTAAGAAAATTAAAAACTACAATTTTGGTAGTGTCATGTTTTAGACACGTTACTCTAGAAAAGCTTTCAAGTTACTAAATTATTAAAAAATAATTAGTCACAGTGTTTTAGAATAGGAACTTTAAAGTGTGAATAAATCTTCAATATCCAAGTCCAACAAAGAAGTTTTTCAAAACGAAAAACCATGAAGTATTTTCATTACATTAGATAAGCAGAGCATACCAAAATTATAAAATGTAAACCTTACAGACAATCCATTTTTGACAGGGGAAAGTTGGGTAACAGATCATTTAAGCACAGAAGCATTTTAACAAACAAAAAGGTCTTCTGAGCAAAAAATCTTAAAGCCCCAATGGGAACACATACATGGCAGAAAATCTTTAAAAGCTGTAACAGTTTTCTGAAGGGGCTGACAGAAACAACAAAACCTAAAACAATGCAAGCCACAAAATTAAGTATTTAGAGAAATATGAGTGGAAGATGTGATTGTACCAGACATGTTCTATATTACATGTTATTTTGCTGTAACAAGAATATAATTTTTTTTTAATCTACATGTATATAACTACTTCAACTGAAAAGGCATCTGATACTGCAGAACATAAAAACAATACTCATGAAAAAAGCCACATAATCTCTAATCCATTAATAAGAAGTGCTATGAGAATAAGAAAGAGAAGGGAGAGGAGAGAGGGCAGAACGACATTGAACTTGACCTAGATGTATAAGATAAGCCTATCACAATTCCAGATGTACAGTATTCTTAGCTCCAGTTCCCACAGACAGCTATAGCTATTACTAGTGAAGTACACAAGGATGCTGACAGCTAACATCTATTGCCTACATCATCCGTGCCTCAAACATCTAATTTCTGTTGCTGTGCATATAACGATTAAAAAAACAAGCTCTGCTGACACTTGCCATCCACACACAGTGAAATAATAGAAAGACTGAAAGCTACGAAAATTCCAAACAGGCAAAGTTTTGGAACGGACAAATAAAAAGCTGTATAAACTTAATCCCAAATTCCCAGAAACACCAAGAATAGCAGTATTCCGATGTGTTTTTTTAAAAGAGATGCAACACACTGAGTTAGCATCTGAAAAACTCACACCCCCATCCATCATTTGTGGCAGAATGTGATAATGTGACCATATGAGATGGTAAACAAACACTAGATATGAATGACAGTACAGCATGGTAGTAAAATAACACCTGGAAGCAGCAACTTATTATTACCTAATGCTTTGAGGGAAAGCACAATGTTTGATGAACCACAGCAAATACTGAGCATATTATCTCAGACCTTGACATAATCTCTCTGTTTCTCTCCCTCTGCACCTCAAGTATGTTCTGGTAAGAAAACACAAGGAAATCATAAAAGTTTCTTCCATCATAATTTGGAAAACAAGAAAATGAAACAAAATCTATGCACTTTTTTTTTTTTTTTTCCTTAAAGGCACAGCCATTTTTATTTTAGCACTCCCAATCCTTTTCAGGGTAAATCCAGGAATATATATATATTTTCTTTCATAGTTCCCAAAAGTATAACTGGCTGATTAGAATTAATTCCAGATGCAAACCCCTTTCTGAAACTTTATTTTTTTATGCTCAGAATTTTAAGTGAAGCTATCTACAAATACTAAATTTTAGGTGTAAGAACAAAGAAATTCATCTGACAGAAGTTTCACGTACAATCCATGAGGAGTCTGCATGCTGGATCCATTGATATAGTAGAGTGATATCTGAACTACAGATAAGAAGACATGTGCTTGTGGACTCTGCATTAGGAGATGAAACCCAAGTTACTAGTTTCAGAACACACAGCAAGCAACAAAATGCACTTTAACAGAGCTGCTTTAAATATTAAAATAATATTTAAAAAGTAGTTTATTGATGAAGCAAAGTGACAGTGTACTTACGAAATGACGATTTTATATTCAATCTTTCTATCGAATAGATGATTTCTTATTATTCCAGAGAAGTGTTAGTATTCCTTTATAGTTTAGGCAAAGAGCATTTTGCAGAAGTATTAGAGAGGACAGATGCTTAATGCCACTTTTACTGCCAACTACATGTCTAGAAAGACCTTGAAACACTCAAAAGGCAAAGATTATGGATTTATCATGATCAGTTTTCCTGAATGTTTTAAATAAATCTTTTTGTTTAGAGGGAGTTGTCTTAGATTTTAAGTCACTAATTATTTTGATTCTTTGTGTAAAGCAAAACAAAAACAAATCTCCCCCCCTCAGTCACCTCAATGACTTCCTACAGTCTGAGGCTGAGTCGTCAAGTTCTTTTTCTATTCCAGAGAAACCAGTCAGAACTCATGTCAAGTCATTAAGAAGCTTTGAAAATATTTAAAAAAACTAGTTTGATCTTATTTTCTGAATCCTCCTGAATTAATGCATTTACTGGAGAAAACTAAATAATTGAAAATTAATCCACAACAGCTAGTCCAATTTCATCATCCTTTGTGTCAACCTGTCTTCCTACTGATTTTGTATAAGTTTCCAGATCGTGGATAAAAACATTGGATACTATCAGAACTAGTACTAACCTTTACAAAAATCCTGTTGGAAATACAGCTCTCCTCATACCACACTGACTTGAGAAGTCTATACAGCACTAGATCCACCAGCATGCATTTTATTTCTACTAATGACAGCTATATTTCAAAAGTTTTAGAGCAGTAATTAAAAATGCTAATTTTAGCTTGCACAAAATGCAATAGATTCTAAACGGGCCACACTTTGTACCCCAGTAAAATCAAATGCAAGCACTAACAGTTATGAGGAAGAGCACTGTAAAGAAAAAATACCTTTACTAACCTTGAAGAAACATAATTTTAGATTAAATGAAAGTTAATTCCAGACATGCTTTCTATTTAAACTTACTTGTCCCCTTTTGTCCACTGTACACAGTCAGCATCATATCCTACAGAAAACTAATGTATGTGCTTATGTCTAGGACAGTAGTAATTTTTAACTTACTGGGACTACTTGTGCTTATACAAAGACATTTAGGCGTTTTTACTGGTGGAAAGCAAGGTATTTGTATTTCAAATGTTATGTCTTTTTGTTCAACTTGTAAGTCTGTGTTTAAAAAAGCACAGAAGAGAAAAGAAGATGTCATTTCATATCAGAATAATGGAACAGAGCACCTACAGACATCTCCTGCACAGTTTTACAGTGTGAGCACTCTGATTTCTGTTGCTGATCACATGTTTCATTACAGTATTCTTCTAGTCTTTTATGGCCAAATGCATAACCATATTGATTTTCAGTGTTTTACCAACTATTACCTGATAGTATTCTATCTGCATTTGAAATTAGAAAAATGTGAATATTTCTATAACATACAAATGCAATATTAATTTGAGCCAGCATTACAGAGCTGCAAATCCCATATCAGATTCCAGTTATTGTCGCTGACCTCAATACTGCATAACGCTTTCCCTTTCACCAAACCTCTAAACACTGTCAATAACAAAATAGCTTGTTTCCCCAGCAGTTGTCAATAAAGAAATAAAACCCAAAAGCTACGAATTGAGATCTAGCTCTGAAATTCATGTCATATCTAGAGACTGAACGCAATAATACTAAAATAATTTAGTTTTTCCTCTTTAATATAAAGATTAATACAGAGTAGTTTGAAGTAAGAATCTAAAACTTAAGTTTCACAATAGGAATGGTATTTGTGATGATTTAAAACATCGTTAGCACCGTTTTCTTAAACAGAAGTGAGAAGACACAGTACAAGATTTTAAAGAGACTAGAGCATCACCAAGTGACAGTGAATCGGCCAAAAATAAGATTAAAGTGTCTCAAAGATGGTAGTTCCTTATCCTCCTGCTTTAGTCTTTCTGTTACAAAAATAAAACCCAAAAATTTCCATGTCTCTTCTAAGAGGGGTAATTCTGATTTCCTTCCTCCCCTGAACAGTATTTGCTGAAGCTGTCTTTAAATGAAATACCAGCTGAAGATCTAAGCCGATTAAGGCTTTTTGAGGTCACTGAGTTAGATGAAAGTAGATCAGTTTCCCAGTGATCACTTCATGTAAACTCCATAAAGAATCTGACAATCCTGCAGCTTCTACCTACTGAAAGTTGTCTATTTTTTTGCCAAACAGAAGACACTTCAGATATCAAATTAATTAACTTGTTAAATAGTCTGCAAGTAAAGCTTAACTGATCCTTGCTCACTGAGGAACTCTTGCACTTGATTCAGGGATGACCTATGCTACAGAATTTATAGACTATCTAAGTTCCAGGCACCAAAAATAAATTCAAGTCAGTAAGTACTGAACAGCAATGATTACTACCTCAAATTATTTCCTTCCTAGACCTTAGAATAGAAGGGAAGAGGTAAAGCATCTGGGTTATGTTTTTCATTGTCCACAAAAGTCATTTTAGTGCTTTTCAAGACACTAAAAATGCGGAAAGAGTGCAAACTTTCTTGTAACACCAACTTGTTTTTTCACAGTGTAGCTTGATGCCAAGCAGATATACCACCTAGGGCAGTGCTACTACTTCCATCGCAGATTTACTTGCTTGAGCAAATAAATCATGCTGTATTTTGCACCAGAGATGTCTCAAGCGTCTTAGAATGGACAGGGGGAGAAAATAATCTTAAAGGTCTTGGAAAAGCAAGGAAGGAGGAATAAACTATTTCTTCCCCATTCCCAGATAATCTAGATTGTCTCATTGCAGGCCCTCATCAGATCTACTTGCCCTTCTCAGCCCCAGTAATTCTTAAGCTCCTTATGTATCTACTGCAACCTCTCCCTATGAATTCAATTCCCAAATATCCCCTCCCTATCAGACTCCCCATTTTTTACCTAGCCTTCTATCTTGTCAGAATTCTTCCAGTTTATTTCCTCACTCCTCTTTGTCTCACCTCCCGTACAGCTAGGTTACTGTCCTGGGTTTGAGTGAGTGGTGGGGTTTTTTGGTAGCAGGGGAGAGGGCTACAGCAGTGTCCCCTGTGAGAAGCTTCTCGAAGCTCCCCTGGCTCCAAGTCAGACTCACCTCTGCACCAAGGCCAAGACAATCAGCTGCACCTCTGTGATAATGTATCTAAGAAGGGACCTGGGAAGAGGAGTTGGACTTGTGAGGAGGAGTGAGGAAGAGTTGCAGCAGCTGCGTAAACACTAAGGTCAGTGGAGGAACAGAGGAAGAAAGGAGGGGGCAGGTGTCCCAGAGCAGAGACCCCCCTGTATCCTGTGGTGAGACGGGAAGATGGCTCCCCCAGCCATCCATGAAGGTCTGTGGTAGAGCAGACACTGATTTATGGCCTGTGGGGGCCCCACATGAACAATTAAGGTGACTGCGCCCAAAGGCAGCCAGGACTCTGTGGGAAGAAGCAGCCTTGCTATTGTAGTTCAGCACTGGGAGGATTGCAGCAAGCGGGGGTGTCCCACGTCTGGAGCAGCTCGGGAAGGGCTGCAGCCGTAGGAGGGACTCCAGTTGGAGAAAGTTGGTGTCTCACGCTAGAGCAGCGAGGGAAACGCTGTGGCCCATGGGAGGGCCTCAAGTTAGAGAAAAGTTGTGGAGGACTGTCTCCTGTGAGAAGGGAACCACACTGGAGCAGGGGAAGGAAGTTTCAGAAGTTTCCCCCTCTGAAGATGAAAGAAGTGGCAGCACTGATTGCACCCTCCATTCCCTTACCCCTGTGCTGCTGGGGGGAGGTGGTAGAGATATCGGGAGCAGAGCTGAGCCTGGGAAGAAGGGAGGGGTGGGAGTAAACTGTTTTCACGATGTGGTAATGGTTCCCACTATCCTACCCTGTCTGTTAAGTGTTGTTGTTAGTGCCTGTAATAAATTTACGTTCCTTTTTTTTCTTCCCCTAATGAGTCTGCCTTTTGCCCATAACAATAATAGGCCATTTGCCCCTCTCTGTCCTACCTTAAATCCCAAGCCTTGGCTTATTTTCTCCTTCTCAGAGCTGGGGAGGAAAGAGGGAGTGAGCAGCTGTGTGGTGCTCAGTTGCCTTCTGAGCTCAGACCATGACAATTACACAGCCTTCTTTCCCAGCGGGACAAACTATACTGCAGGTAACAGAATCTACTTAGGCTCTCGTCCAGTGCCAAGACCTGACATAGTCCAAAGAAGCTCCAAAACAAACTCAAGCGCTTTCCAGCCCTATGCCATATAAAAAAGAATGCTCAAGAAATCAAGATGTCTCATTCTTCTAGCAAAAGCTCCTAACACTATATTCCTTCTAGGAGTAGCAAGGCCCTCATCAAGATTGCCTCCCTCCCATCCTTTAAAATAGCAAAAGCTTTGCATTAAAAAAAATAAACAAACAAAAACATAACAAAACCCATCCGCACCACAGGAAACCCACCATAAAAACCCCACAACCTCCCAAAACCTTTTGTTTTAGGCAATCATTTATCTCCCAGCAACCCAGGGTTTGAAACACATGGACAAAGTCTGCAGAGGAGTTACATTTCTGAAGACTCCATATATTTATTGCCCTTTTCTCCTGAAGCTGACCAATGGAATGAAATGATTATTACTTTTGTAATCATTTCAACAACCCAGACTGCAAAAACTGAGTAGTCCCTTTGCTGGTCATTGTCTTCTTCAACCTTTTCAGTTAGTATTCTCTCCCCTGGGAAATATGAAATGCTCTTTGTATAACACAAAGTTATCTTCAGAAAATCTTCTTGTTTCTTGTGTTTTTTGAACCCTCCTTTCCTTATCCTAGAGTAGCTAACTGTTCTATTTTGGAATAGAATTTTATGAATTCAAGCTCACAAGGATTTGCATTGAATAACTGTTTAACACTTAAAATGAAATAGTTTCATGTCATTAGATTTGTTACTGCGGTTCTTAACAGCTTCACAAGAAATCACATAGCCAATTACTTTTACTACTCCCTACCAGTCAAGCAGAAACAGTGGTTTTTCTTACTATTACTATCATCATCATCATCATCATTATTATTATAAGGAAAAGGCTGTAAGGCAAAGGTCTATAGCCTTTGGTTTGAGATAACAGGGTCAAACGAGACTGTTCTGCAAACACACTATTCCTCCTAAGTTTTCTGTCTTACAATTTTTGGGATCTAACTAAGGTTCCTCATTTTGTCAGAACCTCTTTTCTACGCATCTTAATCTTTACTTTGGTAGGGGACAAAGAAACCCAAAGACATAGCAATCTACTGTAATTCCAAACAGTAAATTTCTTTAATTGATGAACAAGATACAACTATTCTCAGGTAACATACATCTCCACTACTAAGAATTTTGTTTTTTAATCAAGTCTTGAATAAACTAAGCTTAAGATTCTGAAAAATTTAAGTCATTTAGTATTAAAGGCTCTTACATGAAAGAAATACTCCTGCTGAAGCTGAACCACTGAGAATTATATGAAAGGGAGAATCAGGTCTTTTTTTAGACTCCACTAAAATGCTACATAGTAATCGCCAGAAAGAAGGGAAATATTTCAGGGAAATATTTCACTTATTGCTTCCCCAAAATGATCAGGAGACAGAAGAATGTATTGACACAGTTTCTGTGCTCAGAATAATACAGCTTGCTTCAAAGAACTTCTTGTAGCAATTTTCCAATAGCTGAGCCTTCTGTAAATGGAAAGGACCAATGTAATTATTTCAAACTGGAAGAAGATCAAGAAACAAAGAATATAAAAGGTGGAGAAAACTATACATCATTCTTTAACTTAGATCATCACTCCTGTATTTTATATAGAATTTGGAGACGTTGAAAACAACTGACGTTAAAAGGAACAGATTTCTTAATGCATTGTACCAAATATTTTTTACAAATAGCTGAGAAAACTATGGATATCAAGAGCTCAGTAGATGTCTTGGGCTTTGGAGAACTATCAGTGACCAGGTCAATGTATAATCTCTCTGGCAATAAAAGCTATAATTGATTTGATACTTTTTTTTAAAAAAAATATGTTTGATGGTTTAAGATTTCATAGTCAAACTGGTCTTTACATCCAAATCTACCATCCCAACAGTTTATACTGTATCTGGCTGCTGTATAAGCTCTAAGAAGAGACACAATCTGATCTTCCTTTGCTGAGTGGCTGTAGAATCAGATGAATTTGATATAGACAAGGTAGGTCTACATTTACAAATGCACTGGCTGACAGTGAACACTATTTCTAAAATGCCGACTCCCTTAAAAAAGAGGATATTGACTTTACAGTTGCCTTTTATTGCCAGTGTTTGCATAAGAATAGTCTGAGGTATTTTCATTTATAAAGCACAAGGGCATTTCATGGTCCACACCATGAAAAAAATTTGGAAGTCTCTTTAACAGGTAGGCATGGTAGCTAAAACTCCTCAGATTCAAGTCTCAATATGACCTTAGTACAGAGAATAGAGACAGATTGATACAAATTATCCATGATTCATTGAAAACAGAAAGGCAAAGCAATTTAATAACTTGAACATAAGTACTTGTTCCATAAAATAGAGAAAATATAACAGCATAAAACCCCTTTCATTCATGTAAATCTAGCTGGTTAGGTACTTGGTGATCTGAAAGATTTGAATGACTTCCAAGTAGTAAAACACAATACATGATGAAGAAAAGTTTTAACTGCTAAATCACAAACATGCTAAGAACTATTTTCATAACCTGACAGTTTGCAAGACACCTTTTCTGGGAAGGCAATTTATATGAAAAATTTTTATTTAGTAAATTCCAAAACATAAAAGTTAGACCCATTTCTCATGTTCACATACCTAAATGGAAGATATGGTGGATTAGATCCAGACAAAAGTGTTCTGTAAGCTTCTTCTGGTGTTTTCTTCAAGTATATTACCTAAAAGGGATGGGAGGAGAAAAAAAACAAAAAATGACGCCTGAGCCTCAAAAGTCATTAACTACATGCAAGCTTCCCCCAGCCCACTAAACTCCTCAGAATGTGTACTATACTCCTTCATAACCAACTCCTATGACATTTATAGGCCTGAAAAGGCATACCTACACAAAGTAAAAGATTCTGAAATCAACAGAAACTGTGATTTCTGTTTTGTGTCATTTCCCTCCTTTAAAAAAAAAAAAAAAAAAAAAATCACATAACCACATATTGATGCAACTGGGAGACTTTAGGACTGCCTCAATGCCACACTAAAATGAAACATAGGCATCTATACTAGTTCTCTGTCCAGCTTCAGATGAGTCAAAATATTAGCACAGCAGCTGACAAAGGAAATATTTCTCCACCACAGCTCAATGGAAGGTTTTCCAACACAAATATTTTTTGATTCCTACCTGTCAATATCAAATTACTAATTAACAAAAATATCCAATTCAACAAGCTGAACCTGTTACTATGAGACCAACATATAGTTAATGTAACACCCTAAGCCAAGGCTCATTCTGGTATCACTGAAGGCTATCAGCTGCACTGGCTTAGGTAAGAAATTAGAATACAACCATATCTTGTTGCATTTCAATTCTATTTGTACAGTAAAACTGGTCCTAAAATAAATCTCACTTGGAATACATATTAAATGCATTATTTACAAAAAAAAAAAAAAGTTATCCAGTTTGGACTGGTATATTTCATGCATACAAACATGCTTTGTAAACAAAGCCACACATTTTTTCTAGTCATTTCCCCACAACTCACCTTACAACCAGCACCTACATGGCTACTTTTTAGGTCTAAACACATTTATCTGTTGAATATAAAGTATTCTAATAATTCTTTTTTTAACCAAGACATAGGCTAGCTCCTGATCTAAAAGCTTTACTCAACTTTTGACCTTGAGTACATTAGAATACAGGTAAATGCTAGTCACTCCCCGAGTATCTGCAATATGCTTTATGTCTAGAGTCATATCTCAAGTTAGTGGGACTCTTGGTATCCTGTAAGGTGTCAACACAGTACGTAGATTTTCTTGCATTTCTTCAAGCATAGAGAAGGCACACAGAAAAGACAAGGATAAAACAAAAACCAAAAAATCGATTCAAGTAAAGCAGGCTGAAAAAAACTCTGCCATAACATAATGAAAAGAGGGTCCAGAATCATCTCTGGTTTTCAACTACCTCTTTCACTGCTTTGAACAACTGGTCTAATTTTGGACCAAAACTCTCTACACAAACTGATTTGCCTTCAAAATATCAATTCCCTGACCTGGAATTGTATTTCAGTCTCAGTCTCCAATGTTGCTGCTCCACTCATCATAGTCATACTGATAGCATGAATCAGTATAAATCACTACCCAAAAAAGAGGAAAAAACCCCACTTATCTTGCAACATTAAATCTTAATATAGCAACAATATTGCCGTCTCATTTCTCAAAAGTGCCCATATTACATGTTTCTCAAAATTATTATCCCCATACTTGCCTAAACTTCCATATTCCACCTCACCTTAATCTCTGAAAGCAATGCATCCTTTCCACCATCAAAACAGACCACAATTTCTATATTAAAATCATTCCATTTATTCTGTGTTATCAGAACTATTGTTTCTAACTCAACTATTGGATTCTTTGCTATTCGAGTCAAACCAGTGATTACTAATATTGGAACAGATTGAGAAATTTACTTAATGGATATATGTATTTACTTAATTCAAAAAGTAGAAGGGCCCATTTCTTTTTCTTTTAAAAGTCCTAATGGTCAGTCTACAGCAATGATCGCTCACTAATGGCACCAACTTCATACCTTCAAACCCTGCAGCACAGCAATGCTATTCTACTTTCACAGATATTTGTAAAAGATTCTGTTAGTCTGTGAAAGAAGTCTCCTCTATAATTCCATTATAGCACACCTCATCACAAAGGTTTTACATTTAAGAACAATATATCCTGTGCAAGAGATTTTGGTGGGGGGGTGTATTTCAGAGAAAAATACAGATTTTATTGACGTTAATTGACATGAATAATCACATCAGTTAGCCTATATTTAAATTCCTAAATCCCTACTTATAATCAAAAAGATCTTTAGAGGGTAGTTCAGAGGACTTCAGAGAAATATCCGTTTCTATCTTACACAGTTAGGGAGCCAGAAATCTGAAGTAGGGGCAAATTTGTGCTATATTAATGTTTTCCCAATGCTGTAGTTTTTGTTTCACAGAAGTTATGGTACTTCAAAGCTGCCTCTGCTCAAAGACATGTATACATGACATTTTGAACCAAACACTGCTAGATGTCTGTCCACAAAGCTCGTAATAAAGACACCAGGATGGAAACAGGAAAAAGGTATTAAGAACACAAAGGGAAGGAGGAGAGGGAAAGAAACATTGAACAGAGCTCCTGGAAAAACACAAATAGTACAGATGTCAAGAATAATGCTGTAACTAAAGAAGGAAGGATACTGAAGTGGAGGAGGAAACACTACAGTACATGTCTTCAGTACTTAGAAAAGCAGTGATATCTATTAAGAAAAACAGAGGAGAGTGTCTTCTGACTGATCTTTATCAGTGAAAACTCAGCAACTGAAACTTAGCTTCATTTTTTAATCTAATAAGATGAATCTTCAGAGTTCTTTCATTCTGCAACATATACGAAAAATATAAAAAAAAAAAAAACAAGCAAAACCAAAACAAACCCATAAAACAAAGAGCCTGCTGTGAATAATGTGTATAAACTGAACCTGTACCTAAGAAGTAATGAGTAAAAGCCTTTTAAAAAAAAAAAAAATAGTCATCACTTTCCAGATAGTAACTATTCCCTTATAGGACTTGTCTTACAAGGGACAAAATTCTCCTCCTTATCCCCACTGTCACTGGTATAACTCATATCATGTGGTACTGCTGCTACCTGTAAAAAACAAATGTAGCAAATACTGAAAATTTTGATTTTTTTTTTTTCTCTGACATTTCCATTCTTATGTTCTCACTTCCTGAATAATGATGTGGTTGAAAGATAAAGCTCTCCACAGCTGGGACACTATACAGGCACATGAGATGTAGCAATACTGATCACATACACACTGCCAAGAAAATCCACACCATACATCCTAAAAATTTTACAGAACAAAAAGGGAATTAGTATTTTGCAAGTCTACCTTAACACTCATCCACAATATTTCAAATACAATTTGGATTCATCTTGTTCCCACCCGCACCTGACATTTTTAGATTAGAAGTATATGCAACAGATCCACTCTAGGAGCTGCTAAATTACCACAAGAATTCTGTGAAGCCAATCTAAAGCAATCTGAAGAAAGGTGTTGCTTTAAACAGCAAAGAGGTTGTACACACTGCAGTAACTGCAAAGCCTTTATACTTGCTGACCCTTCAAGGGAGAAATTATGGATTTGAGCAGTAGTGTGATACGCTTAGATTACAAGAGAACAAACAAAGCTTCAGGTGCAGCTGAGAAGTCTAATTTATGTTTTTAAATTAGGGAAAAAGTTTCCTGCAAGCAAATGACTGAGCATGCCACGGTAGTTTCCTTTACCCAGACATTTGCTGTGATAAAATTATAACGTTTAAGAACTCAACAGCTTTTCTACCTTATTGGCATTACAGAAGTCTAATAAAAGCTATTACTACCAAAATACGCACCTAAAGTAATTGTGAGAAAGAAATATGACCAGACCATCTGCTATCGACAAGGAAAAGGAAAAAGAGCTCACTAGATCTCTTTTCAGACTTTGTCACAGTATGAAAGCATTATGTTTCACCAGAACTACTCAAAAGTCAGATTTTGGTCCACTAATCAAGTTTTGGTCTTTGAAGAATTGCAAGAGAGAACTACTGCTTGTCTTCTACAAGGGTAGGATTAAAGCTCTAGGTTTACCAGAAGCAAATGTCATACATTTATGTTCTCTCTTCTCCCTGCCCCATTTCTCTAGAAGCACAAGAGCAGTCACTGGTAGCATTCCTCCTGCTCTTCTCCCCCAGGGAATTCAAACCTTACTAGATAGCAGAGTACACAAGCAGGTAGGCATTCCTCAGTTTCCAACTAGAAAAGAACCATAAGAAATACCTTAAGAATATGGAAAGAGGGACCCAGCCCCCAATTCATCCACATGTTATCAGACAGGAGAAAATACACTCTCCATGATTTTTCCAAGAATTAAATCTTTGATGACAAGTGGGGAGTTCATGTAATCACTTCAGTATCATTCAGTTAAACCTATTCCCTCTCACCCCCTCTCCCCCAGAAACTACTAGGGACAAATTGAGTAAAACCAGACTACTTCAGCTTCGGTATGCATGAAAGTACTTGTAATACTATTTTGAAACAATTTCTAAAGACAGCTTGTTTTGTTTTGTTTATAATTAACTGTTGTGGAAGACTACATTAAAAAAAAATTCCAAAAAACTAAAGTAAGTCTCTAAACACATGAAGGGAAAGCAATGCAATACTAGCTTCAAAACATTCTCTGTGGAGCCTGGTAAGACTTTGCAAAACTTAGTAGCTCCCTGTTTCTGACATCACTGAAGAGTCTGCATTGTAGTCTCTGAACTTCTCTGTAAGATCAGAGAAGCCTACATCATCTTCTGTTCTTGTAACACTTTCAATATTTTTTTCTTCTCAATATGAATTTTATGACAGAAGTAAACTTTGCAGAATTCTTAAGAACAAGAACAATAATTTAGCAACTGGACATGATTACCCCAAATGTATTGAAAGTCCATTGTCAAAACTGAATTTTAGAAAATGCATCTTCCTGAGATGCAGTTTACAAACAGGCAAGCTATTGCTAATACAGTTTTAAGACTTAACTTTCACTTAAACTTATGACTCTCTTATTAAAATATTTCAGTACAACATGTCTAAGAAGCTGTTCAATGGAACAATCTAAGTTGCATAATCACCACTGGAAATCCATTCCTAGAACCTGATCCACTGTTTTCCACGTTTCATTTTACACTGAATATTTTAACACCAGCACAAATAAAACAAGCCTTCTCAATTAACTTTCACACACTGGTAGAGTTCATAGCTGTAAGACTTTCTGGCCTCGGAAAGCTTGTATAATCAAAGAAAAGACATAAAATCTAGACCACCTTAAATCAAAGAGTATCTATATTTCTGTCAATTTGGATATTTGAATTGTGATAGATCAAATTGCCAATTGCATGCAGTTCTTTTACTACACAGTATGATTAGAATCCATCAGGTCAGGAACCATCTTATCACATAACCCAAGAGTGTACATCTACTGCATCTGACTAAACATAGCATTTACAGGTAAAACACTCCAAAAATACAAATATTTCTTAAGCATGAAACAATATGTCTAGATTACAAAAGCTAAGCTTCTGCAGTTAAAAAACAAAAATCAGATTATTAGGTAGATGATAAATAACTTTTTCGAATATGTAAATATTCATTATATGCATTAATATCAATCACTATAGGAGAAGGTGAATGAATGCCCATAACACTTGCAAGTTTAGGAATACACATGTGTAGAAATAATTCTTGGATGACATACTTATGTAACATATTGGATACCTTTGCGCAAAATTTTTTCCAATGTTATCCTAAATTGAGATGAATTGGAAAGCGATTATAAGGTGTTTTCAACAAGAGAACAAATACTTTTTTGTACTGGTAACACTGTATTAGGAAAGCAATATTCTTGGTACATAACATCTTCAATAATCAATAATCAGAAGATACTTAAACCATCTACTAGTCTGACAGGATATGCTTGCATATGCTAGCAATTAAGAGCTATAACCATCTTAAAACAGGCTAGGCAGGGGTTAAATGTGCATGCAGTTGTGCCACACTAATTTACCTTATTGTACACATAAGCTACCAACTCCTTATGTGATGTGCCACCTGATATGGAGTACATACACAGCCACGCCATGGCACACATAATATGTGCTCCCCCTCTCAACTTCCTTCAGAGGGATTTCTGCTGACCTCCCCGCCAGAGCATGCCCTTATCTCTAGATTTAGCTGAGCAGCTCCCCTGAATAAGGACTACCCAAATATACCAGACTGTTTCCACGTTTAAATCTTAAATACTGTAAATATGGCATAGTCTTACTTAGCTGATCAGTACTCTGCTTGGAGTTCTGTCTTACACCTTACGTACCTCCGTGCCTTTCTGTTCCTACAACCCGGCTTTGCAAGAAGTTGTATTCATGGCAAGTAGTGCTCTTTCCTTGGATCTAGCTAATAGTGATAAGGGCATTTTAACCTGTTACCCGCAGGGAACAGCTACTTAGTTGAGCTAGTCATATAACAAGGACTGGATAAGGGGAATAAAAAGATAATCTCATCCCCTTCAAAATGCTGGTGTCCTACCCTTCCAAGGCTTCTAAGATGTATCAGAAGATGAAGGCAGGATCAGACAACAGCAATCCAGTGAAGGTAATTAGGTGCTGTAATCTACATATGTGCTAGATGAGTGTTCGCTAGCTACAGGCTTAACTAGACTAGCTTTAAAAACATGAAGTGAATCTTACTAAATACAGAACCGGAGATATAATGATGCAAATAGAAAACAAAAAGCAGTCTGAAAAAAATGACTGAAGTTTCTTTACAAACTATAGTGTGGGAATCATTACTAAAGATGCTACAATTTGGAAACATTTTGGATCTGAAGGGATGGTAAAGCTTATAAAGGTATGCTATCAAATTTGGAGATTCCTTAAACAGAATATAAAACACAGAATTAGAAATTGATTCCAGCATTATTAAATAGAGCCTTGTACGGTCAAACCAGTAACAAACTTAGAACATTTTAACCTATTTATTCTTACTACTACTTTTGCAGAGTTGTTCTAGCAGGTCTACTCCCAAGGGTTAAAAATCTAACCAAAAGATTTAAAAAATTTTAACTTATCCCAAATTTTTTTTAAATCTTTACATTTAAATAGATCTTCATTCTCAAGAGCATTTACACACTATCCCCATACTTGTAGAAAAACATCTTGTTTAATTACACAAATCTGCAACCTAAATTCTTTCAATATTATCATCTGCATTTTCTGAGCTTTGCTTTTGGCATGACCTCAGGCCTGAAAGAAATACACCAGCTTTCACACAGTATAAAGCCTGACTTAACAGAGACTTACCAAACTCAGCTGACCATGTGGATGTCAGCTCAGGACCAGCAGCTTGTAAAGTTTCAATACTTTATCAGTGTAAAACATGCTATCGCAAAGACTGAGTTTTCTACAAGTGTGCTCCAATTCTTGGCAGTAGAGCAGGAAGGTGAAATTGAAGCAGGAAGGTGAACTTGAAGTTGGAGCTACATTGCTGTGAAGACTCACAAGTGGTTGTATCAAATGCCAGTTTGGGACTGTCAAAACTTACATGGTATCATAATAAATTAGGCTTGTGTAAATAAGATGTCCTTGTGTATGGTGTATTATCTGTAATATTAGAAGGCTGAAATATCTTAATTTTTCCATTTTTCTGGGTAGGCTATGAAAATTAACTGAGAAAAGAAATCAATCCAATAATCACTATGTGTCTGGTCTAGTAACTTTTAAGAAAGGCTGTGAAAGAAAGAAATCTTTCTCCTTCCCACTATGAATCTCACTACTGCCATGAGCAGCAATTGATCCTAAGACAGACAACTTTAGAGGTAAGTTTGTGGTTTGCATTTTTGACATTCAGGAAAACGGTATCCTATGGGAAACATGCACACAATCCACCAAAGCCACTCCCTGTATAGTAAAGTAAATGGAGTTAAGTGCCAAAGACAGGACTTCCCTAAACCTCATACAAGCAGAATTTTCAAAGACAGCTTAGAGAAGAATCAAATTACAATCTTCCCACCTCCCTAGAGGACCATCCCTTGAGATGCTATTTTACACACAGCAGATGTCTCTTAAGGAAGGTTAGAAGTATTCACGTGATAAATACTTACAGCATATGCACCTATTAAAAATGCTGCATTTGCTCGTTTCCGCTGATCAAAACTGGTATAGTACACTATCTTCTTTCTTGATAGACTGAAATACTGTTTTAAAAAAAAAGACAGCATATTTACCAAGAGAAGAATGCACTTTAAAAATACTTTTAAAAGTCACTCTTTCAAAACTGAAAAATAAGTCAGAAAAAATGCTTACAAAGAGATTCTTAAAATTAAAGGCAAAAATATTACTGATACTATGAACAATCATCTTACGTTATAGATAAGAGTGCAAGGAAATAGCCACTGTATCAGGGCAGGCCTCAGCTTGCTGTGAGAAAATACTCTATAAAATGCAGTTGAACCAAAATGTTCAATATAAAATACTAGATTTTTTTTTTTGTAAGTTTAAATATTTGAACAATAGCTTATGAACATTAATTAAAGGCATTGAAATTTTTAGACTAAAAGGCCCTGCTATATGTTAAATCTCTTTAGCACATAGTTCTGTGGAAAAGACAAAAGAAAAACTGAAGCAATCAATCTTACAGGCATTTTATAAGTTAACCACTCTTCCATCTATACTATCTAAAAATGGGGTGACAGACATCTTCAGAAAGCTTCAACAGCAAGAATTTATTAGGAAAAAAAAAAAAAGGACAAGTGAAAAGCCTGGAAAAAAAGGCTAGGCAAAGACAAAACTAAGAACACTTGCAATTCTTTAGGAAGAAAAGAAGCCTCTGTCAGAATTCTGTGAACAAAACTCCCATTGAAAATAAGACCAACAAGCATCAGAAAATAACAGTAATGACAAACTGCAGCTAAACTATTTAAAGCCAGAGAGAGATACAATTGTCACTTAAAAATAGGAAGTTGAACAGTTTATCGTATTATTGTTTTTTTAGCTTCATTAATTGCTACACTTCCATTATATTCTGCAACACTATTTCTCATGTTTTCCCTGACAGTTTTGAGGAAGTCATCATCCGACATACTGGATTCTGCTTCTAAATATCTGAAGCACACTTCTATTTTTAAAGGCTACACATTTTACAACCTGCTTTTATGCTAGTGTTGCTGTTAACCAATTTCAGATTTTTAACTCAAATTTGACAATTTTAATTTACTTTCTTTTCCTATTCTTGGAACCGATGACACTCGGGAGTGGGAAATAGGGTAACTGCTGCAAAACTGTGTTTTATTTATTTAAGTGGTGCCAACTGTATTTATCTTCCACAAATCTGTAAATGTTGACTCTTATCTTAAATCTTGTTGCAAATTTTAGGACAGCTTTTACCATAGAATCTAATTTTGCAAAAAACAACAAATAGCTGATAAATTCAGGAGAAAAACGATGTATGTATCACAACAAGCATCTTATTCCCACCCCCCACAGAAATAGCACCTTTAATAGCAGTTCTAACTGTACATTCGAGTTTGGTCTTATTACCCACAACTTCCATAAGTAGAAGGAATAAGAGTTAATGCAACTGAGTATATCTAATTAGGACTGATAATTCCTGAGATAGCTGGTTCCTGTTGATTGGAAGGGATTGTATCTTGAGACCAACAGCAACATCTCTCTCAGTGTATATGCAAACATACAAAGCACACATAGTTAGTTAGTGAAGCATTCAATTATTATTAAAACTTGGGAGAATTAATACCAGTATTTTAAGATCACTCTTTTCTTTCCCCTCCTCAATTTTTTAATTTTAGTGTTCTCTAACTGCAATTCCACCCATGATGTGTAGGTGGGATAAGATTACAGTAGTTATGCAAGTGACAGAATTTCAATTATAACTTGTTGACTACTAGATATTTTAAAATGAAGTTCTTTGCAACAGTTTACAGTTCACCTGAAGTACTATTTTAAACTGTACATTCTGCTAGCTAGCCAGAAGTAAGTTCTATATAGTAAGACTACATTTCTTCATTTATTTTATGGAATGGATCTTATTAATCATTTGGGTCTATCAAATCATTGCGATTTTTAGATGCATTTGTACCTGAAGTAGCCAAAAAGTGACAACTCACTTCAAAAGTTCCCAGAACATCTAAATGAAAGCAACATATAATTTTCAATGCTTCATTTTCAAAATGCAAGGGCTTAATCCTTATAAGCCATATTGGTATATAAAATATTTAAATGTCTTTTGAATCTTGACTAAAGTTATTGAAACCCAACATTAATTAACTGTTTACAGGACAGCAACCAAATGAAAACTGCATCAGGATTTTACTTTTCAGAAGCCTATAAAACAAACCACTGTTTTCATTTGCACGAGTTACAGAAAAATCAAGTTTTACAGTGTTTGCTGAAATGTTAATGCAATGCCCCCCTTAACAGTAATACACAAATTCTCAACTCAATACACTTTCAATACCAATACTAAGCTATATGATCAATTTTAAAAAATACTCAGTTTCTGGCCACACTTGTTTATTTATTTGGCTAGTTTTAATGATAACAAGTGTTAAAGACAGTTCTTTAAGGTGACTGTTTTTACAGCTCCAGAGCTCCACTTGACCGAATTAGAGTTTTAGTTCCCGTAGATACTGCACAACTCGTAAGGACCAAAAATGTTTCAACAAGGAATTTTTCAACACAGGTTGTCTACAGAATAGCTATAGTTAGAGATAATATAGTAATATAGTTGCATTTTTTTTTTTTATAAAACAAAACTGAGCATGCACTATGAGGCAGTAAAGATACTTTTCTTTACAAGTAAGAAAATTTTAGCACTTTCACACATCGGTAGAAGAGAAAATGTAACAATATAACAGAACAGTATCTGTCAAGACATATCCCAGAGGAATATACTTAAAGACAATCTTTTGCACTGAATGCAGACGTAACAAGAAAAGTATGGCAGGTTTTGTTTTAGGTGATAAAACATTTGAGTGTATGAGAGGTTCCAGAACACATTTCCACTGTTAATTATTTATTTATTTTAATAATAGATCACTTCTTGTTTCTTGAACACCTCAAGAGATTTACTTGCACAGGAATTGATGACAGATTTAGAAGGTGCCATTGTGGACAATTACTAGATTGGTATCTTTTTAGAATCACCAGCTTATTTGGCAGTATTTTACCTAATGGATATGTTTTAATATAGTTGCATTACTCAAGCAAGAAATTACTGCAATGCGTTTAATAAGCCTGGATCAATGCAAAGATTATTTTTATATATATACACATGTATATATGTAATAGGTACATGTAAATAGCAGTGAATACAAGGCTGGCAAATTGTTCATAGAAAACGATGCATGATGTTGTACATGCAAACTGTCTTAAAGTCTAAACTGTCCTAAAGATGATGCTTACAATTACTATAGTTCCGTATGTATGCCCAGCAGTTTATTTATATTAAAATAAAACCAAACCAAAACTCTCTGTGATTCAGCAATAACACAGCATACAAGAAACGTTAACCCCACAGTTCATAAACCTGCCAGAACCTTCCATCTTGTGCCTTTGATCTTTGGTACTTGTATCATTTATCTCAGCAACACTCCCTCTCTGATTACCTTTGCTTCTGAATTTATTGAGGTTGTATAAGTCTATACACACATAAAACAAAGCAAGTTTTTTAAAGCAGCTTTTATGAAATCAGACTTATTTAAACAGAAAAAAAAAAATTCCTTTCATAAATGAATCACAGTTCCTTAGTCAAACATTTTTTCCCCAAAACAGAATTCAAAGAACAAGTAGGAAGATAGCATGGCCAAGCGTTTTTCTTGCTGTTGACTTGGCTAGTCAAGATCATCTCCATAGCAATCAGCAATCAAAACATTACAAACATAACAAGGTCAGAAAGGTTTTCCTGTAAAGCATAACCAGGACTTCAGCTCTAACTTTCTCAGCAAATTGATATTTGAACAAATTCTTCAACTCTTCGGAACAGAATGGTTTACTGCTTTTAAAATCAGCCAGCATTAATTACAACAGTTTCCTTTAAAATGTTGGCTTGCCGTTACCACATTTCAGACTGGTACCCTTCTCCTTCCCCACCTGTCCCCAAAGAAAGGAGAGAAGAAAGCAGAAAACTGCTTCCATGTCCAATTCCTCTCCCAAAACAGGAAGAAATATAGCTGAAATACTTGGAGGGGTCATTTGTAGGGTTTGTTTGTTTTAATGAGATCTTGTACTCTTATTTCTCCTACTCCTATTTATAGAAGTTTTAAACTTAATAGAAGTCTAAGTCTTAAGTTCCTTCTGAGACACCATACCCACACAAAAACTATCACATTTTGGGATATTTTTTTTTGCCACACTTCTTTTAAAGGCTTTTCATAAGAAAAGTATATGAAGTGTATATACAACCAGGTATACACCAAATCATGGCAGGAGCCATCTGGGCTTAAGCACAGTGATTGCCTCAGTGCAGTCAAGTGTTGCAGTATGGCAAGAGCAGCCATCCAGCATCAGAGGCTGGATTTCCAGAGAATGATAATCTGCAGTGCCTTTTACTTCCTATGATCAGCCAACTCCTGCTGTTGGTCACAAGGCATGGTTACCCTTGATGCTAGGGTATGCAAGGAGGAGGCTGCCCAACAGGACTCTTTCTCCATGTTGTTAGTCCCATCAGCAGTTCCAATCTCTGAAACACTTGACCACAGGCCACCCGTGGGTCCTCCCAGTGCCACACCAGAATTCCATTACTTTTGCTGCTGCAGCTGCTCATTGCACCAGTGCCTTGCTGGCAGGTAAGTCATGAGTCATGAACTTCTGTCTTACACACACTTGTTCAAGCCTCAGGAATCCTCTTGGTGACACTTGTGAGGGACAGACATGAGAAGGTGAGGGATAGAAGGGTGGAAACTGTGAATCCATAGTTCTCAACTCACGAAGCCAAGCAGTATCTTTTTTACCTGGGCCTACAGTATACTTTAGATGCATGCTTCAGGCCTGGGATTTGGTCTTACAAGCCTACTTATTCAGTGCAGATAGTATCTAAATTAGGACAGAGTCTGGTGTATATTTTAACTATTAGAAGAGCAAACCTTACATTAGCAGGTATTGGCCTACCTGGGGGGTAGTGCAATCAGCCAAACTGGAATCCATTAACGTACGAGTTTCTATACCATGCCAGTGGTATTCCAAGCTTTAGCTGTTTGATTTCAGGTATTACTTTCAAGTGGTTGCACTATCAGGTTACCCTTCTCTATTATACACTAGTAGTTTAAATTAACCTATTTTGAATTAGCCTCTGGTAAGGTAGCAGCAACAAACAGTTCCTCCTCCCAGCTGAGACTACAGATGATCTGCATGAGATTTCTCTGTTCTGTTCCTGACCATCTATATGCCTCACCTGACACTACAAGTGTGTTTGCTTTTTTTCAAAAAATATAAGAGTTACATTAAAATTACATCACAGTTTGCTAAATCAACCCTGAAGATTTCACAGCTACTAACTCAGTTTCAGTTTGGTTCCCATGTATATTTTCTCCATTATAATATACGATCTTTATGTCATCATGATTATAAGCCATTTATGATGAGCAGTTTGCCTCATTGAATGCAGATGATCGTCTTACAACAAAAATAAAGACTGTGGAGACATTCCTGTTTAATATTGAGTAAGTTAAAAAAAAAAGAAGTCCTGAGGTATTTATTAGTTTTGTTCTTATTTTCTGGGTGAAGCTCTTGGTACCTAGGGTCCAGATGGAAGGCATTCTAGTTCAACTACAAAAGTATGAATGTACACTTCAACAGTGATACATGAGACTGTTTTCAGGTCCCAAACTGACAGTCTCAGTTTGAATCTGGAAAAAACAGAACTAATCCCTCTAGCTCTCATAGGCACAGTGAAAGTCAGAATAGTAGGTTTATTATTGGTTATTCTCTGGAGTAACCACTTCACAGAGCAAGCATTCTCCACAGCCTTTAGTAACTCAAACGTAACATCACAAACAGCAGAATTAAGGTTAAAAAAAAAAGAAAAAAAAAAAGAAAATTCATAATGAGTGAGCACCATTGGTCATGAGTTTGAATGGGACAGTGGCACTACAAAACAGGTGATAAGTATTTATAAGCTCTATGTAGTGTAAACACAGAAATGGCAAATCCAGTGTATTCCCCATACAAACATAGACATTAAAAATTAGAAATACTACAGTTTAATCTTATTCATAACTAACTTTCTATATGAGAATATAAATTTTCACTAGAAGCACTTTTTTGCAAAAAGGTTATAGCAACTCTACAAACCCCTCAATTTGCAGAACCTCCTCTTAAGACTACTTGACTTTAAGCCAAGATGCCCTTGGAAGCAGCAGATAGCGTGAATTAACTTGCACAATAGTTTCATTTTTACAGTAAACATTAGTCCCAAAACATGTCATTTTTGATACAGGAATCCTCTTAACAATGGCCAATGTTATGACATCTGTTGTCCCATTTTACTCTTCTGTCAGTAACAGATCTAATATAATATAAAGATCTTAAATCCGTAATATTAGTGAAGCATGTCCTTGATATTTGCACACAATTGATATTTATTAGTACTTTGGAATTAAAACATCTATTTCATTCCTTGCAGTTGATAAGTTTTCTACACATGCTGCAAGTCACTTTCACAGGCATTTGGCTGCAGGTTAAATCTACAGCTATGTGCTCAGTGTACTGGGTCTGGCTGGGATGGAGTTCTGTTTTCTCCATAGCAGCCTGCATGATGCTGTGTTTTAGAGTTGAGACTAAAACGGCCTTGACAACACACCAATGTTTTAGCTGCTGCCAACAGTGCTTGCACAGCATCAAGGCCTTCTGTTTCTCACTCTGCCCCCACAGCAAGCAGGCTGGGGTGTGCGAAATGCTGGGAGGGCACATCGCCAGGACAGCTGACCCAAACGGACCAGAGGGATATTCCATACCATAAAGCATCTCACTCAGCAGTAAAACTGAGGAGCAGTTTTTCTAAATTAGCAGTTGCTCAGAGACTGGCCAGGCATTGGTCTGCTGGTAGGAGGTGGCAAGTGATTGCCTTCCCACCACTTGTTTTATTCCACCCCTCTCCAACCCACCCCCCTTCCCCCCTCATCTCTCACCCCTTATCATTCCCCTACTTAAACTGTCTTTATCTCAACCCACAAGTTCTTGGTTTTGCTCTTCTGATTCTCTCCCCTGTCCCACCCGTATGTCAACCCATATCAGGCTTGTGGGTTTATGACAGCACAGTGTTGTTAGAACATAACTCAGCTAGTGAACTGCTACACTTACAGATTCTAGACAACTTTATTAGGAAAGAACCAACACTTTGCAGTCAAAAGAAAAAGCTACTTCAGTATCTGAAGACGACAGCAACATTTTCTCTCTTCAGTAGACCAACTCAAAATTGGCTTGAATGAACAATCGTTACATGGAAGCAATGAAGTAAGAAAGCTTCTACAAATTAATTGATAGGAAGTGACATACCTACAACACAGATAGATATAGGAACCATTTTGATATGTGTAAGAACACATTTCTATAAACCGTATTAGAAGCAACATTTTATTAAACTGAATGACATAACTTTTCCACTGAGTGAGATTTAGTTTAAATAGTGTGATTTTGGGCCCATGTTTTGTTCTTTTTCATATGTGTAGGCTTTTTTGTTTAGTTGGTATTTTAACGTCTGTTTTCTCAGTTGATCATACTAGCACACCTATCACATCAGCTGCAAATCCATGAAATATCCAGAGTGTTTCTTGGTACCATTGTCTTGAAACTGTAAGGTTATGAAGAAAGGTGAACACAGCCTTCAGTGCCTCACCTGCTAAGCCACAACAGCATATTCATTTTTTCCCTTCTTCAGAGGGAAAAGAATTCAGAACAAAGAATAACCTTAAAGCTCAGCAGTAACCATCTAGATAATAAGCACCTATCAACCATTTTCAAACTGGATAATACATTTTAGCTGAATTTCAAACCACAAAAATATAATAAAGTTTTTTTAAAATAAAGCTTACCTTCAATTTCTTATTTAGTTTACAGCAGTATCTGTATAACATTGCCAAATTTAAAGGCCCAAAATCTCCATAGAAACTGGGAGAAAAAGAACAAGAAAATGTGTTATTTAAACAAAAGAGCTAAGCAAACTTCAACACACATGTTGCTGATAATACACACACTACAGAATTTATTCTTCATACCATGATATCCAGAGCCTGGTTTTGGACAAAACTAAAGAGTGAAGAACTTCAAGACATGATCTACTTCCCTTTCAGCTGTGCTGATGTCATCCTAGATTAAGGTCTTACAACTGCCTAAGATGAGAACGAATCATCAGATACTATGGAGAATAATTATATACTATGAAGAATACGCTAAATAGAATTTCTTACAGATAGCAAAATTCAATAGCATCCAGTCTTGATCTCTGAAATTTAGGCTTATTTTTACACCATCCTCCACTGTTCCAGAGATTACATATATATTTTACATATGTTTGTGTTTGATCCCCAGTCCTCTTGTCTCTAGGCTGTTCTTCCGATTTATTATTTATGTCATGTCTTCTGATTGTTCTTGTTTCTCTCTTCTAGATTCTTCTTAAACATTCACATTAATTTTGAAGCAGCAATCACTGTCCTTAGGATAAAAGCTAATTGCAGTAGTCTACAGGAAAATTACTGCACAGTAAAAGTAAGTTCCTGGTAGGGATTCACAGTGCTCTTCCTAGTTAACCCTTCATATAGACACCTTTACAAGTAATAGCACCTTTTATGCAGGCAGCTTGTAATGACACCTAAAGTTTCCTCTCTGCACACTCATCAGGCAAAATCACTCAAAAATTAAGTTCCAAGCTTTCTTCAGTATTTTTCCTTTTCATGTATTGAAGTCTTTATCTTGATGCACACGTTATAGATTTACAGTGGGAATGGACTGTAACTTACACTGTATTAACCTGCTCTGCCTGAAGTTTTTTTGGTAAGAGAGACAGGACACTTCTTGCCTATTGACAAACAGAACAGACCACCAGCATCTGAATGCATGTTATTTGGGGAATGACAAAAGAAAAAGGTAACTATGTACTAACATTTCTGGGCTTTGAAAGAGTGCTTACTGAAATCAGATGATAGAATAGGTGGTAGTACCTTTCAAGCTTTCTTCCCCATGGCAGAAGGTTTATTTTTTTTCAGGAAAATTAATTTTGGTCCAGGTAAACATAAGAAGAGAACTTATACTTTGAGGGGGCAGTCAAACATTAGGAAGAGGTTGCTCAGAGCGGAGTCACAACCCCATCATACAAGGCTCTGAGCAACCTGCTCTTGCTGACCTGGTTTTGAGCCCAGGGATTGGATTAGACAATCTCTGGAGGTGTCTTCCAGCTCCAGCCATTCTGCTATTCTAAGTGGACACAACAACAAAGTAAGAGTGCCCTACCTTTTTGGTGCTTATAACTTTATTAATATCCTCCTCCCCACATTCTCTCAAACAAAAAAGCCAAGCCCAGTGAAAAAAAGAGACAATTATATTAGTCTGATCACTGTCTAGGATGAATAGCCTGCCTGCTACACCAATGCTATTTCCGTATCATCTACAGTATCAAATAACAACTTAAGTGTTTGTTAAGCTTCAATTCAACCTGTCAGTATGAAATACTATGATATAATGCTTAGAGAAATTCATTAGTTGGGTCAAAGACTAAGGTGTTCAACTGCTAGGAATTTATTTGTAGGTTGCACAGAAATTAACCAACTCAAGGGAAAAATTGCAGTGGCAGTAAAGCAGGGTTTAACTTTAGAATTCCTCATCTTTTCTTAGAGAAGTCTGCCAGATATGGTCAACAGTTATTTTTAAAACAAAACCCTCCATACAGTTTTTAATAGAGATGAACAAAATTGTTCTAAGAAGGACAAGTATGAGTTATGACAATTAAGTTAAAACTAGGGCTCTAACAACACTAGAGCAAATGTAGCTTCTAGAAAAGCTCTGCAGAATACTTACTAACATCTCTTCCCATTCTGCTGCACTAATACTTTCTCTAAATCAAAAAAACAACCCTGTCTTGTTCAATTAACTTCAGAATATTCTTTCACTTAAATACATGATGAAAGAGTAGAATTTAGGATCTTAACATTTTGTGGAAAATACTTTTAAAAGTATTGTGAAGGAGTGTGGAATGTGATAGTTACGAAAACACTTTAACTTAGACCAAACAAAGCTTTTTGTGTGAACAAAGTAGCTTCGTTCAGCTCAAAGATATAACTGAACACATAGTTCACCTGAAGCACTGAAGAACTACAGCCATGCTTTAGGATAGTAAGTTTTTATTACTATTCATTTGCTAGAAGTACCTCAATATGAAGTCATATATCCATTTCTATTTTTCCACATGATTAAACGCAAACAGAAGTGTAGGAAAAGAACATTAAAATTAATTTACAAATCAATTTATCCACAACTGACAAATTTCTTAATATTTTGGTGGGGATAAGGATAAAAATACATTTTTTGAGTCAATTCATGAAGTAATTATATTTCTACAAAATAAAGTTATTCAGATTCTCTCAGCCACCAAGCTAAAGATGTCAATCTTAGAATGACTATTTCTCCATCACTTATTACCAATTATGCTGTGCTTCTTTTAAGGGCGGGGGGGGAAGGGAGTATCAGTGTTTAAGATTCTGATACTACCACTGTTTGTCTATGCTGCAGAAACAAAATGTTTCTCAAAATACAAAACACAATCATAAGGGAAAGGCACTTCTGGTCATTGCTGCACCAGCATTATAACCCATACAGCAAACACTGGCAATTCCTAAGTTATTTACAAAATATCACGTAGGCAGTATAAACCAGCCATTGACTTTGTTGACAAAACATTGCAGTAGGTATGTGAGGGGAAAAAGGTTATTTGTTACATGTGTAATTTTAACTTTCTCCATTTAATACCTCTAAACTGGAATAAGCTTGAATGTCCTTTTTTAAATGGCATTAAGTGAAACAACTGCTTTACAAACCTCCAAATCAAAGAGTTGTCTGAAAGATAATACAAGGCTCTGTACTGAAGTCAATGAACTCTGATCTACAAAACCCTTCAATTTATATCCTTAGAACTAAATACAGTTTCTGCCATGTTTAAATAGAAGGGTTTAATCTTATGCACCCTGATTATTTTTAGTATAACAGGCCAATTTTGTACTTGAATTGGAGACACTTGATCCTGACTCACCCAGGGGATTTTCTTCTTAAGAACAGAATTCTGACTGAGTTAAATACAAATGGAGATGGGAAATGGGGGCTATAGGTCCTGGGGGAAGAAATGACACACCTAGTCACCATCTGAATAAGGAATTTTATCTGGCAAAAGTTGAAAATAAAAAAAACATAGAAGTAGTAAAATATTATTATATGCTAGTTATTGATAACAATCTACCCAGTATTACTTTACTTCCATCTCTTTTAAGGGTAATAGACTTTCTTTGTATCTAGATGTTTTAATAAGCTTTTATACACAATAAGGAATCAGGATGCCTCTGAAGCTTAAGCCAGTTAAGAGAGACAGCCATTTACAATGGAGGTGGGAGCCAGATATGAGGAACAGAAGGCAAGTACGGTATTAATCTACATTTAATTATATTTTGTTTTAATCAAGCACTTAGATGATAGCTTAAATTATTCTTCCCCCTCAACCCATGGAAACTTGTTATCCTTAGGCTTCTCAAACTAAGAAGCAGCAAAACCCCACAATATACTAGATGAATATTTAAACACTCTACTTCAAAAATACTATCATAATGCTACCTGGAAGCAGTAGCATAGGTTTCTTGTATCTGTATTCTCCTTAGAACAGACTTCCAGAACCACTCCTTCCTATCAGTTCTTGTAGCATAACATCTGAGGCATTTGCCCTATTGTATCATAGGAATGGTCATCCACCTAGAAAGGACAGCCCATAAAGAACTCGCTGGTCTACTCCATCATGCAAACAGTTAGCGTACATTCTTCCAGAAAGAAAGAAATGTAGTCCACAACTCTTTAGGACAGCAACTCGTTTCTGACTGCAGTTCCACGGGATGCCATGTGAAGGTGCTGTGGGTCACCTCAAGCCTTGGACTAGTCTTCTGAACATTGAAGTCACTTTTTACTATGCTTCTGAATACCACTGATCCCATCAGAGCAAAAGAACTATCAGCTCTTCAAGTTCACATCTTGAACTACTGGATGGAGCCTGGTTATGGTCAATGAAGGAATACTATATCCTGGAAGACTTTGAAATGAATTGATAACCTCCATATTAACATCACAGTCAATTTATTTAAGGCCAAGGTATAAAGTTATCTTTCAAAGATTAATTGCACTAGTTATACTTTACCCCAGAACCCTGATACTTTTTCCCCGCAGATGAATACACCAGAGCAGTAGTTTTATATTGTCACTCACAATTTTGTGATACAGAAGCAGAGGTAAGGGTAAAAGCTTTTCAGATAGGAATCTCCTATCCTATCTCAGAATTATTTTCTTCATAGCAGACAAGCCCAAGTCCAGTGTTATTGCAACACTGAACACAAGGATGTGCATGCATTCTTACCAGGCTATAGGCATTTTCAGTCGTTTGAAGATGGTCCAAAGACTAATTACGAGGGGGGTGGGGGGGTGGGGCGGGCAGGGGGCATGGAAATAGCAAAGATCCACCCAGTCAGTTCTAACAATGCAATAGTGCTCAGAAGGGATGATGGTCCCTGTATAGCAGCTTACTCACTTATTGGTTTAGTAACTTGAAAGCAGAGGCATGGTTTCACAACTGCAGTTATCTTCTGGAGTATGTATCCCAGAATTGGAGTACAACTACTCCTTTAGGTGGTAAACTTGCCTTCTTGGCAACTAGCAACCATATAAAGTAATTTTTCTGCCAAAACAGAAGCACCCCAGGCTTGCAATTACTCAAGACAAAAGATTAACCACAAGAACTTCAGGAACTAGCAGAAATATAGCTTTCTAACTGCAAAACTGCACTAGTTTTTCAGCATTTTACAAAGATCCAGTTCACTATTAAAATTAAGCAATGAGACTTAATTAGAATAATAAAAACAGTCTCCACT